GTTGGCCGTTGGCCGTTGGCCGTTGGCCGTTTGCGATTTGGCCGGTTGCCGTTGGCCGTTGGGCGGTGGGCGATTTCGCAAATCGCGACAGCTTTCGAAAGTTTCAAAATTGCCAAAAAACTTGCGACGTGGGCGGTTTTCTTTCCCGGCGCAAAATTTTAACTGCCCCCGCTCAGCAATAGGAGTTATACGCTAAGGCTTCCCACCAGCACTAGAGTTAAATTTTGCATTTACCTACCCACGAGGATTCTAGTTTTCATCGTGCACAACAAATTGCAGTCTAATTGCGCTCTCTTTGCTGATTTCGAATAAACAAAATACTAACTATAGAATCTTCTTTTTACACGTCTTTTAGCTGCTCTGAACAGAGTAGATGTGCTTCTCTAGTGCTGCTTGCGTTGGATTTTTTCACTTCTTTCCTGAAGCTTTATTTTGCGTGCTTTATTATGTCTAGGAGGATCCTTACCACAGTTTCAGTTCTTACTCAATGCTTACTGATCTCCCTGACCAGTGTTTTTTATTATGAAAAGGAAATCTGCCACCTATAATCGCTCTGGCGATGTATACGGTTCTGCATACTTCTAAAAACTAATTACATTTGTACAGTAATTATTTCGTCCTGTTGCAACTTGATTGATGTTACAGTCTGTTCTTGTGGTCTTGTAAGTTTTCAATTTCTCTACTTCCAATACACTCCTTATCGTCGATCTTTACGCTATTGAATGACTTTGTTTTCCTCAGTTGCCAGCTCTTGCTATACGCTTCAAGTCAGCTCAAGAGACGTAGTCCTGAGCAGAAATAGTACGACCACTCCGTAATCGTCACCAGAATTAGTACGACCACTGCAATTGCCTAATCGTGCTTGGGCACAAAAATATCTAGTGATGTTTTCTAAAATGTTGTCTCCAAGTTGCATATTATTGCTTTCCATCAATCGACTAGCCCGGTGCCGGTGTTTTATTGAATTTGTCCCCTACTTTTAGTACTTTTTGTTTTTCTCAGAGGAGATGACATCATGACACTAGCGATTATCGTGCGTACACGGCTGCTGGAGGTGGAACCGCCCAAAATTTTTTGATGAGTCTTGTCTTCGTGAAAAGAAGCCCCGTGCTGAAAACCAAGAAAGATCGATCGGGCTGCGCTGACGATGCCATACCAACATTGCGGGCAGACGATGCGAAGGTGGCTCGGCGATGGAAGTAGCGCGCTTCCGCTTTGTTGCGGATAAAAGCGTTTCTTGGCTTGTTCTTCATGCGTAAGTATGCCGAGTTTACCTCACTGCTTCCGTACCTTTACGCACTCGGCTGCAACGTCAACGGCCTCCACTTGCAGTACCGAGAGGACAACGCTCAATATTGAGAGCATGTTGTGGAGGTGGCGCAGGTCGCTTCTTGTCCTTCCCGCCTTTTAATGTGAGTGCCAAAACCGAGTCAAGTCTAGAGCAGGCGAGAAGAACAGCAGCTGCACGAGCGTAGATGGACAAGATGAAGAGCGAAGGGGGTGACACTGTTGCTTGATAGGCAAAGAAACGACAGAGGGATACTCATTACCAATGCCGGCACAGCCTCTGCACGGCCAGCCTGTGATGTGAGAACAAGTAGACGCAAGGGGGAAGGTCTTACTCATCCGGTGTGCTTTCGCTCTTACGAAAGTGCACATAAAAAATCCTGCTCATTGAAATGATACATAGATGTGTTTTTTTCTGTTGTAATTTCAATCTGCTTCTATCACGTATCGTTGTCGGACATTATTGAAACTCAACCACCTAATTATATCTTCGAAAGTCCCCCTGCGCATCAACAACATCAAGAAAAAAACACCACACGCAAAAAATTATGGCGGCTCTGTTGATTTGGTGTTTTTAGAACAAATGTGGGACTACACTTTGATAATTATCTATCTAACCCCCTAAAGATGGCAATACTGATCAAAGCATCAAGTGCTTCTTTAGACACCCTGTTCTTATACTTCTTTTTCTGACCACGACCACCTCCGGTTACTGAACTCGTACTTGTTTCTGCGTGTTGAGCTTTTTTTCTGCGATATTTTTAAATTTGAATTTATGTAGGTTTATTCCCAGCAATCCATCGTGCTTCGCCTCTTGATGTAGTTTATTTATTTTTCCGTAGCCACCTTCTTGTATGTATGCGTGAATTTTTATTGCAGGAGATGTGACATGATCCTATTTGTATTTGTAACCATCATCTATCCTGTATGCCTGTACTAGTTGAATTATCGCGTCGTCATTTACCACAACCAGCCCACAAATAAAAAGGTTTTATTTCCTAGAGCCAATCAAAGACTTCTCTTTGAAGGCAAGAACGGTCGTGGAGCGCCAACCCCCCGGAGTGGCCGGCCTGTCCACAGATGCCACCGAGGATCCAGCCAGTATCTTAGCGTTATCGGACGAAAGAAGCGCAGGCAGCTCTTGCGGGACATGCTTTTACACATGATTGTCCAGGTTTGTACATGACACTGTTTTATCTGTGTGGATGGCGGACTGTTTCCAGTAAAAAATAAAGCAAAATCCGACAGAGTTGCATGTATGTATAGCATTAACGAAACTACAAATTGGAATTTGCAACCCTGGTGCTGTCTACACTTTTCATTTCCATAGGCTGCGGCATTACCACTCCGTGTGGCGTGCTCCTGGCGATGTTTTGCTGATGTCATATAATTCACACGCTACCTCCTTGCCCCATTCGTAATTCTCTGAATTTGTATACTGCTTGGATCATTTTCTTTTCGAATATGTTTCATCATGATTCAAAAACACTGTACTTTTACTGGCTGCATTTGATATTTTTTCGGAACGCGCTCCCTTTGCTTTGAAAACCGACGACAACGAGGAAACCGCGCTGCCTGTGGCTACGATTCGCAATGAAAATTGCCTCGATCATCATCTCGTCGTGCAGCATCGTAGCGACCACACGACCTACTGATTTAGATGCAGGTGCCGAACAAGTCATAATGGCGCCCGCGTTTAGTTACGATCATATGCTTGGGGACAAGCTGTGCTACCAGCGCATCGGTCAGTAGCAAAACATCCGTTTGCAGGAACTACTCGCCTGGCAGTGGGGTTTGCAGAACCATACGCGCGTCGACTGCGGTACTAGACATCTTCACCGGAGGCGGAGGGCAGATCGATGAACGGATTCTGAAGTGGGGATCCTCTACTTTAGCTATCTTGCAGCCGCAAAAAATACCTCTCTCAGCCAGAGAAATTTCAAATTCATGGCACCTTGTTTCGTTTATTTTTACGCATTGAAAGATACTATAATCCCAAGGAAATAAAGAAAGTAGAGAATTTAAACAATAGAAGAAAATTATATCTCACAAAAATTCAGAACACGACCTGTACTAACTCTTGACTAGGACGATTGGTCAACTATGGGCTAATTTCGCCGGATGACTTCTCGGGCTACATAATACTGTACTGAAATTTATTTTCCACTCTAGAAAACGATAGTAACTATCATAGTTGATATTACAAAACGGGGGAGAAGAACGAGAGGTGCTTCTCCAATAAGGGCTAGTACAATCACGAACTCTACATCAACCCTTCGATTCTTCACACTACTTTCTACTCGCGGGAGTACTAGCAAATAGGAACTCCAACTCGCAGGCGGGTACTACTACTATCGACGAGCGCAGCGGCTGTCGCTAGTACGTGGTCTGGCTACCTCAGTAGAGATGTTTGGAACAACACCAGAGCGCCCGCGGCGCGGGCGCACCGCGCCCTTGTCACCACCGACATCGGAGTTGGCGGAAAGTGTAACTGTTTTGTTTGACAAGACAGGGGACATGTCGGTCCGAAACAGCCAGGCTGAGCAGGTGCATTTTACGACAAATTTTAATTTATACGTTTTTCTACAAGTACTTGCGCGGCTGATGTTTAATGATGTTCATCTTTTTGCAGCATGATGATGATCTTGAAGGATTTTCACAAAAATCCTATTAGAATCGTGCTCTTTGCAAGTGAATATGCACCACCAGCCGGCTGAAACAAAATACTAATCAAAACAAAATCTGAAAAAATACGAATGCCTTACAACCTCAACAGGACGGCGGCGAAGGGTCCTCCTCGCCAATATTTTCCGGTCGCGCTGGGCCGTCCGGGGGGCGAATAAAGACACCGCCAGGCCAGTCGTCTACAGACAAAAATGCCCACGTGATGCTGTTGCAGTCGGTGACGTCCCCGAGCCGATTCCGCCAAGGTGTTGTGGGCACCAGCTGCTCTGACGTCGTCGAGCGTGGTCCGCACGGTGAGGACTCGCCGTTACGCACAGCAGCCTCCTACGGCAAAACGACGACGCTGCTCGAGTTTCGGCAGTCGGCAAACAGCTGCCGCTCGAGCGGATCTTGTGAAGGAGGAGGAGAACCACGACGAGGACGACCCAGCAGCTTCATAACGAAGTACGCCTCGGCGCCCTCGTGTCTGAATGAACAGGACCTAACATTAACAACATCAACAGGAGAAGGAGTTCACGGTCTCTCGCCGGTCGCGTCACGGTCGACCGCTGCGCGAAAATTGGCCTGGCAAGACGAGCCGGAGCCCGTGCTGGGGCGCAGTAGTGGTCCTCGTGGGAACGGATCTATTCCAACCTCGGGACCGTCATCTTGTTCATCAGGAGTGAACAGTCACAAACACCAAACTACGAACGACAGCGGTCCCTACCAGTCGACCACGACATCATCTTCTTCCTCGAGAAAAACTTCCGTTGTGCACGACCACGCGAAAGGACAGCAAAATAGTAAAAATCCTGCAACGAGCTACAACACACTCATGGGTGGCGAGGACGGTAGTTGTAGAACAAATTACGGGGAACATCAATACCTCGGGAGTTGTACAACTAGAGCATTGCATCGTGCTGGTGCAGCATCGTCGCCGGTGAGAAAGATGAACTACGGGGTGAAACTGCCTTCTCCCACCTCCTTAAAACGGGATCCCCTTCAAGTGGTAGACGATCCGCGTGCCAGCTTCGACGACGATGATGGTACAACTTCTTACCCACCAACATGCCCTGGCGGTGGAGCAAGTTCTGCTTCCCCACCGGACCTGGTCCTGGAGGACGCAACCTCGCTGGAGGGGTGCATCTCGCCTGAGTTAAGTACCAGATTTCCGCGTTGCACGGTGAGCTGCGTTTCCTTAGCTTCGTCCTGCGCGTCGGACAACTTTACGGAGTTCAGCCTCGAAGAGAGCCAGTTTTTTCCAATGGGGTCGGGCGCAACTACCGGCGGGCATAGCAACTGCGGCGGCGATGTGCAGGTGCAGCAGGTAGAGAACGATCAATATTTTATGGAAGAGCTGCAGCAAGAGATAGACAATCTTCAAAAGCACTTGCATGTAAGTACCTTCCTACAATCAAAAAAAGCGTCTTTCAAGATAATGATCCCTGATGGGGCTCCTGTTCAATTGACACCAAGGTCGTCGACCACGGCTCACCGCATGAGTCCACCACGTCCTCCTCGGATGGCAGTGAGCAGAGTCTCAGCCCGGGCAAGCCGAAGTTCTCGTTGCGACCCGCACCCTTCGGCGGTGTGCCTGTCAGTGAAGACGCGACGGAGTTGCTGCTGAGTATAGAAATGAAAAACGATCTTCCTTTCTTTTCCGATATTGAGACCGATAGAGTTAAAACTTCTTTGAAGAAGTAAGTGCGTTCTTTTACTTAAATCCACTAGCAGTACAGCTTCAGATCAATGCTGAGTAGGATCAACACTCGCGGCTGCCTAAAGCAAAATCGTGAATTGTTTCACACAAAAATAAGTTGACTCGTCTCCGCAGGTAGTAGCATTGAGTTGATTCCGAATGCAGACAACCGAGATTTCAAGTTTCCGGACTCGCCTGTTGCCCGCACCGGCATTACCGAGGAGTTTCACAGGTTGTGCAGTGTGGACCGGAAACTGCAACAGATTTGTGAGGACGAGGTACTACAGAAATGCTTATGCTTTATCGACCCGCCCCATATTAATACATGTCAACATGCCAGGTTTGGTATTTTGGACTTGTCATGCAGATGCTGGGGCAGCTTCATGATAGGAATATGACTCAGTGTCTCTGAAAAATTTTGTTGAATTTTCAAACCGACCAGGTGCTGACCCGTCCAAAATGTTGCGCACTGTCGGTGGAGAGGCATCCGCACAAATTTTCCGGTAGCAATAAGTGCGAGGAGGCTCGCAGAAGTGCTCCGCAGGCCCAGACAAATACGGGAATGCAACAGGTATAGAATGCAAACTGACACTCTTGGCAAACTCATAACTGCATGAGATAGTATCTTGATCTTCCTTATCCTTATCGTTCTTTTTCTACGCCACAAGCAGTGATGAAACAGAAATACTGGAAAATACACATCTTCAGGAGAATGGCAACCTCCTTGTGCGGCGCAGCTGCGGTAATAACGTCGAGCGCGTGACCCGGTCGAGGCGCAACACAAACGCAGCGGCTTCGAAAATGCGGTTCCGCGCGTGCTCCCTGAGTAGCCATGCGGTTGCAATCTGCATGGGCGGTACCAGCCCAATTCCGTCCAAAAGCCGGTTGCGCGAATACGAAACGTATTTTTTTCTTTTTGTGATCGCATAGTATCACTTCGATATTTTTTGCATACCTCGAATGATCTTTGCGACCGTTTGTAATGAGACGACGAAGTTTTTTTGAGTACGTATTTACGTCTGTCATGCTTTCCCCTGGCACCATGATCATACATTTGTGTACGAAGTACGTGCAAAAATTGAAATCCATAAATGTCACAGCATCCACGCGGCACGCCTGGACGCGATGTGTACGGGCGAGGGTAGTGTGAAAAGTTACCTCGAGAGCCTAGTCGCGAAGGTGCATCGCAGGTACATCGAGACGAGCCGCGACTCGAATGCGACCACGACCGCCGGCACAGATTTTGCCTCAACGACGGCAAGCTCCAGTCTGCAGTCCGTCTGGGGAAAGGACTCTTGATTTCTATTCTTCGGACTTGTTTGTACTTAGAAATGAAGCGAACTTTTTGTGGTGCAGCTGGGAAGCAGGGATACGTAGCACATAGCATTGTAAGAACAAGAACAGGACGAGACATCCTCGAGTCGTCACTCTGTTATCTAATCGCTTTGACATAAGAGGGCAACTGAAGGCGGTCTCTAGTTCTTAACGCGCATTCCAATGACACAATTTTAAAGACGACGCGCTTTCCGTTGCGCGGATTTTGTTGAAATAGGTCGCGAAGATCGCGAAGGGGGTAATTATTTGGGTCACAAGATAGACTTCAAGTCAAATTTCAACCTGCAGCTGCTGTTTCAAACGACGACGTGGTGGACACGAAGTCGACCTATGGATTCTGATTTTATGCTTTTACCGTTTCGTCTCTAGCGTTTCTGTTTTCTTTTCTTAGCAATTAATATTCTATCAAAGCACCGCTAACAGGTTCAAGTTTAAGCGTTCTCTTCTCTTGCGTTGATTGTTTCCGTTTTCATTGCGAATAGAAAAAAGATGACTACTATTCGCGTTGTGCTTGTGTTTGGTTTTCGAAACAGCAGCGGAAAACTACCACGTCGCACAACAACTACTACAAGAGAGCCAACTACAAGTAGATTCTTTTTAGTACAGCTGATCCGCATTTGCGTGTTTATCTATGTATGAAGCAATTTGTAATAAATTTGAGATCTACTTCATCGTGTGTCATAGATGAAGCCATCATCTCTGGACTGCGTGCCTATTTCCGGGGACGGTGGCTCATCGAACCCTAGTTATGTAACCTCTTGTTGTTCACTTCCGATTCTGAGAAACATCTCGTCCCAAAAATGACCCTCTGTAGTATCGTGTGCGATTCTTCGCCTTCGAGTTCGACCTAGATATAGAAAGATTATTACTACGAAATATGAATATCAATATGCTTGTCAAATGTAACCGACGACCGTCATAAGTACGGTGAAAGTTTGGAAATGAATTTATTTTTTTTACAGCTACAAGCTTTTTTTTTGTTTTTCCACTGGTGTGGAGCAGCACGCGCTGCAGATGCGTTCTCTCGAGAGCGTTGCAGCTCTTTGAAAAAATCTTTTCTGTTTCTCTGTGACTACTTTTTAGGTAAGTTCTTGAAGATCACTAACTTTCAACTTTTTTTATGTTCTTAGCTTGGCTTTGTTTACATTCTTTTTCTTTCCGGAGGCGAGAAAGCACCGGACTCATGCGTCTGGTGCGATGTATCGCGTCTGGATTCATTTTTAATATCAAATTATCAAATAACAGTGTCATAGGTAATTTGTCCGCGCGATAGTTGCAGCTGTAGCAAGGGCACTATATCTACAGAGTGATTTTGTGGTCAGCAATCTATTTTTCTCTATCCTTGATATTACAACCGTGGGAACTCGAGAAAGGATAACAGCGTCTGACACTATTAAATAGAGTTAGGCTCTTGCGACCTCCGTTTGCTCGTATACTTACAAAATTTGAATAATATCAAGCAGTATTTGCGATAGAAATTTTCCGTTGTCTTGAAATGATTCCTTCTACTTTCATACGAAAAAAATTTTTAGGTTCCTAGTTGAAGTGCTAAGCAAATAAACAAAACCGCCGTGCTGCTAGCGCTAAAATACGTATCGCCTTAATAGCCCGCCAATTATGAAATTTCTTAATCTACACCTGCAGCAGCCAGTCGGCCGCTCGTGACCGCCATGTTGCTGTGATCTACCTATACTCGTGACGCCTACTGATCGTAGTTTCGTTGCACTCATTTTCATGTTTTTCTCTACAAAACAACTGATATTGGTACTTTTGCATGAAAATAGCCCACGGAGAATTTACCCGTTGTGAAAAATTATTGTCATAAAAGAATGGTAAGTTCGATTTGTTTTCCTAGCGCGGCCCTGAAAACCGAACGCGCAGACCAACACTATCTACCGTTCAAAAGAAGAATGCGCAACTAGGCGGTAAATGCGACACAGTAGATACAGAATAAATACGGCCGTCGAGTGAAAGCAAATAGAATTTTTCTAGAGTTGCAAAGGGGGACGTCTATGTGCCATTACTTCCTGAGATCTGAAGTAGTGGCCATGACTGAGTCTCCATTTTGCGTTCCCCAGCAACTCTAAGTCCTAGTGCTGGCGGTAGTTGCATCCACGACCTCGTCAGTGGTTACAACTTTGCCGAGCAGCCACTGTGATATTGTCGTCAGTAGTGAGTCTCCGTTCCCCCATGCGCCGGAAAGGAACACCAGATCTAAAGGCACACCGGCAATCACCTGATTTCTATTGATTTCCTTGTGGTGTTATGGAAACCGATTCTGACGGCACAATTCTCTACATGATGATAGATAGATACCTCCGCGCAACTTCGAAAACACGACTTCCGCGCGTGCAATTCTATGCAAATTTGGAGCTGAGAAATATACTGAACAATAAGTAGTCGACAAAAATAATACGCTATTCATTGTAGCTAGGACTTGTACAAAAATCAATTGGCACTGACAGCGGACTACCTTGAAGGGAACACTTTTGCTCCTGAAGAAGTTGCAAGAATTTGTTGAAGTTGAAGAAGAAAATTTTGCTGCACGCAGACGATAGTTGAGCACAGGTCTTCACTCTTTCGCACCGTCCTACCAAATTTGCATCTCGTATAATTTACAGCGCGATGGGACTGGTGCCATGAGAGGAAAGAACCCAGCCGGCTAATAGTGTCAACGTACTTTCTATAGCAGATACCGTGGAATAAATAGGCGACTTTCTAGTCACGGTCTATTTTCATCATCAGCAACCCGCTTTCCTGACTGTACGGAGACCACAGCTGCGTTGCCCCCGCGCGCGCGGAAGGCGACTACTACATCGTGTTAGAGGAGGAAAAATTTGATTCTTTTTTTTTCTTGGTTTTGCTTGCTTAAGGAAGTTCGTTCTGTTATGTTGACGTACAGCTTTTTACTAGTAGACTTGGACGGTATTTTTCGTCCCTCTTTTTGACAGTTCTCTAAATTTGTAAATGCGTTCTTTACTTCGAGGCGGCAGCAGACAGGATGGCAAGGACGGAAGCAGACAGACCCTTGCTGCAGGTAGGAAAATGTTTTATACTTCTGCTTGATATGGAAATAGATACTTCTCTGATTACTTTTGGCCTGCTTTTTCACAAAGGCGCTAATCCGTAACCTGGGACTGCACCGGCTCTGAGCTGCGCCATTACAACTGAATGGAGATGCAAACGCACTGTAGCGCCGATACAAATTTGAACTTCGAAAACTGTGGCGATGAAGAGTTCTACCGCTGTTGATAGTTCTGGTAAACAAATTTGCTGTACAAGTTTTTTTTTGACCCATCGAACTATGTAGTTTTGTCGTGAGCAAGAGGATGTCATCGGTTGCGCAGGTCCTACATACTTGTAGTTTTTATAGCGGCCTCGAACAAAACAAAATGATATGACATGTTGAATCTGTTTGACAGGATGATTTTGAACGAATTCATTTTTCTTTGAAATGAAATGTGACTGTCCATCGACTTCTCGATTTCGATCTCGTTTGAGTTTGAGTCTGCGTTCGTGCCCTTCCTGAGCGTTTTCCTTCGATCAAACTTCGGTATGACTTTCTTTGTCTCCTCGGTTTTCCTATCGGTGTGCCTCCGCTCGATAACTCAGTGCTCTAAAATCGATTTTCGATCCTGCTCCTGAGAAGAGAAGACACTACTAATCGCCATCGCACGTCGAATTGTTATCGCCTTCGCCCGAGATGTTTTGCCTCGCCTGAGTTTCGCCTGAACTTGTCGACATGAGGCTTCTCGGTTTCCCCGAGAGACTCCTCGTTTTTTTTGTCGACTGTTTTAGGTAGTCAGGCGAGCTTTCTTGCGCATACGTACGTAGATCTCCTGGTGCTTCGGCACTTCGAGGTTTAGGGTCGGAACGTTCTCAGCACTGCTGAAGCTTAAGAAGAAAGGGGCGTGCACGCCCTGGCCTTCAGTCTGCTCCGCCTTTTATCTTTTTGACGATCGCTTTACAAATCCTCCTTTTCTGCTCTGCCTCTTGTTCCCCGGGCCCAACTGGCACCAAGCAGTTTTTTTCGGTTTAGGTTTAGGTAGGCCGCCACCGCTGCCGGCACGGGATGGCTGTCGTCGCGACCGTCTCACCTTCGACTACGCCTTCTCCTGCTGCACAAGTTCGATCCGGAAAGGGTTTAGTTTAGGTTTCAGGGTTTAGGATATCCACTTTTATAGCGGCCTCGAACAAAACAAAACGAACAACCACAAGACCTTACAGCTTGGACGGACGTTAGGAATTCAGTCGGTGACTTTCAGGTGACTGCCGAGCAGTATGAATCTCTGGCACCCCCCCAGCAACGACCTTTGTGCTAGGTCTCAATGCCTGCGCTGATGCTTCTTCCGCCTGTCCTTTCTCAGCCAGTGGAGGCCGCCTCTCTGACTGTAAGTAGTCAGAGTCGTGAAGAGGATGGGCCGGCTAGCCCTGGCCTTTTGATGTAGAGGCAAAGCCTCTGCCACAGCCTCAATAGATGCAGTTATGAAGCCTAAAAGGTCCACAGGCTGCACAAAGATGCTGTCTCCAGGCTGCTGCGCGTGCATTCAGGGGTCCATTGTGGCAGCTACCAAGCCTATTTGCGGGCTATTTGGACAGATATCAAGCGGGGGTGGGAGGAAATCGAGGCAGCTTTTTGGGTTGGTGACACGAGTGGTGACACGGGCCGGTGACACGGAGCCAAAAAAATCGCCAATTTGGTGTCGCCACGAGCTGTGACAGCCGATGGTGACACCAGAAATCGTCTCGGTGACAGCCGACTTGTGCTCCGTGTCACCGGGCTCGATTTTGAGCCCGGTGACACCAGAAACCGGTCGCGGGTTGGGCCAATCCGCGGCTAATTTTGTGCTCGCCCGGAAACACAATTCCATTCGGGTCCATGCATGGCGCCAGGCCTTACCAGAAACGCCAGGCTGCTCGAGCTTGCCCACATCCAATAGAAGGCCGAAGGACCACATTGGCGCGAGCGCAAATAGTTTCTTTGGCTGAGGCATCAAAGCTTGGCTACATGCCTGCATGCGGTTGATGCGGTGTTCCTGTTCATGGTGATTGATTCAGACTAATACGGACTATCCTTATCCAACAGACACTGAAAGATGAACACGACGATGGAATCCATTCAATGCAATATCTGTGGATTGCGACGCAATTATTTTACTTAGTCGAATCATCACAAACGAAATCAATTGCAATTTAATCTTTTCATCATTATAATTTTGATGTCTTTGATCTCCATTTATCAGATATCATGTGAAGAATCAAATTGGAATTAATCATTGAGAGAATCTTCAAAAATTTGATTGTTAAAAAAATTTGTTCTGTCTTAATATGAAATGAGATTCTATTCTATTCTATTCTTTCTTTCTTTCTTTCTTTCTTTCTTTCTTTCTTTCTTTCTTTCTTTCTTTCTTTCTTTCTTTCTTTCTTTCTTTCTTTCTTTCTTTCTTTCTTTCTTTCTTTCTTTCTTTCTTTCTTTCTTTCTTTCTTTCTTTCTTTCTTTCTTTCTTTCTTTCTTTCTTCTCGTGCCTGGGCATGGTGTCAAATGTATGTTCAAGGCCCTAAAACAGTCCATCAATGTGGGGGCGAACCAAACGAGTTTGTGGGGCTTGTGTCGGTGGCGGGGCTTGTGTCGGTGGGTTGCGGGGCTTGTGTCGGTGGCGAACCAAACGAGTTTTTTAGCGGCCGCGTGGCGTAGTTTTTATAGCGGCTGCGTGGCGAGTGTTTATAGCGGCCTGTGTCTTGTGTCGGCTGCGTGGCGTAGTTTTTATAGCGACCTCGAACAAAACAAAACGAACAACCACAACACCATGCACCTTGCTTGTGCCAAGAGCCCCTTGGCCATCACTCTGCTCGGGCAAAAGTGATTGATGGCCAATGGCTCCCCGGCCGTCGCTTTTCGCTCGGACGGGCCGACGGGCAACCAGCCAAGCAAAGTGATGGCCAAGAGCCCCTTTGCCACCACTTTCCGGGCGGGCAAAAGTGATGGCCAGCCGGCCGCCAAAGCCGCCCCAAACAATCAAAATAAGCTTTGCGGTTGGACCCCCTCTGCTTTGCTTGCCGGGCGCGCAAAAGGGGCTGACGCCGGGCCGGCGTCCTGGACGCCGGACCGCAAAAGCGCAAAAGCGGCGAGGCCGCTAGGGCAAGCGCAGGCCGGCCCAGGCGCACCAACCTCCCTCGGGGCAGCCCTCCCATGCACAAAGCAAAACCGCACCAGTCCGAGTCCCGCGGCCCTGTTGGACGGTCGTATGTGCCTGGCTCCGTGTAGTCTGACTGTCCGCGCTATGCTTTTTTTTTCTCTTCCTCTTGCGGTGCCGCCTCCCCCTTTTTCTGAGGCGAATTCCGGGGCCTTTTTTGCCTATTTCTGTCTGTCCCATGCCTTCACCTTCTAACCAACCAAAATAGCGTGAGCGGTGCGCGCTCCATGTGTAGAATTATTTTTCAAGCTACTAGCCCAGCGGGCGTCCGGGACGCCCGCGTCAAAGGGCTAGTACTTGTAGTTTTTATAGCGGCCTCGAACAAAACTAAACGAACAACCACAACACCATACACCTTAGATTCGCTTCTCGAATTCGCTTCGCTTCTCGCTTCGCCATCGATTTCTTTGTCGCTCGTATCGACGCCGTTGAGGTGTACCTCCGGTCAGTCGGAGGGCACCGGGGCCGGTTCCTGGGTTAAAAAGTGGCTAAATTTTTCGGGATTTCTTCGCGGCCCCAAAGGGCAGGCGCGTCCAAAGTTTGCGCGGCGAGCCCCCGCCCTCGGCAGTTTTGTGTTGTTTCCCTTGTGTGGCCCGCTTCGCCGGGGGGGGGGTTTTGTTGTGTTATGGCATTGGGCTGGTGGGGTCGTAGTTTCTGCCGCCGCTGGGTGTTTTGTGTTTGGCCGCGGGCAAGATTTTCAAATTTAAAAATTTGCCCCGTTTTCTTCCGAAATCTGAAGCCTCGCAATTTTGGCCCATCTCCCGGCGGTGGTTTGCCGGATGTTTTGCGCCGCGCAAAATATCCGGTCTCTCGTGCATTTGTGTGGCAGGGCTTGCCATTATCTCGGCTGGCACTTGTTCGAGATAATGCCTGCCCTTATCTCGGACAGACCGCGCGGCCCGCTTCTGCGTGAAGCGTCCTTGGTCGCGCTCTTCGGGGTGTTTTTTCTCTCCTTAAAGATCAGCTCTGGTGATGTCGGCCTTCTTCATGTATTTCTTGTTCTAAATGTGGCTTTGGAAATTTAGTGGTCAAGATGGCCTCTGGGTTTCCAAAGTCGTGGGATTCACAACTTTTCCTCTTCTAAATCGGCGGCTAAATCGGCAAACAGTGGATTTCCTTCCCGAAATCCCTGTACTGCCGAATTTAGCCGTTCGAGGAGAAGAAGGAAGAGGTGTGAATCCCGCAAAATTTAGAACAAGAATTAGAAAGGCAATTTAGAAGGCGATTTAGAAGGGCAAATTAGAATAGGATTTAGAAGGGCAAATTAGAATAGGATTTAGAAGCCCAATTTAGCACACAATTTAGCCACCCGATTTAGCACATGATTTAGCGGCCCGATTTAGCAGCAAAGTTACTACCTTGCTGCTAAATCGGGAATTTAGCCGCGGCCGGGATTTGCAGTGGAGATTTCGGGTGGGGATTGTTGAGTTAGGGTGCCGGTTCCCGGGTCGCAAGATTGGGTAGGGGCCTCACCCGTTTCCGGGAGCTTGTGTGTTTGCCTTCGTAAATTGTGTTTCCGCCTTCCCGTCTTCGGGTGTTTTCGCTCTTGGCCATGCATCTTTGGGGCGAGGGCGTTCGCATGGTGTCGCGCATGCGCGGCGCGGGCCGCAGCGCAACAACCACATGCCGCCCCATGGGATTTCCTTTTTCCTTTACCTCTGGTTCGCGGGTATTTTCTTTCTCGGCATTCGCCTCGCCGCCCGGCTCCCTCCTGGCGCGCCGGATTTTTCAAAAATCCCGAAAAAATTAGCTGGTTTTTAGTGGGCGAAATCGCCCCGGGCCCTCCACCTGACTCCGGTATGAGTGTCGTTTTTGTTTTTAGTTAGGAATATTCGCCCACATCAGGCGATGTTCCTGCCTTGCTCGTGCGCATACGTACGTAGATCTCTTGGCTTTTGTCTTGAGGTTTAGGGTCGGAGCGCTCTCAGCACTGCTGAAGCTTTAGATCCAGATGGGAGTGCACGCCCGGACGGATCAGAGCATAAGGCTATACTAGCGCTTTTTGAAAGTAGATTTTACCTTCCCTTCTTCTTGCTTGCTCTTTGTTTTCCCCGGGCCCTACTGGCACCAAGCAGTATTTTTTTTGGGTTGGGGCACGACACTTTCGGTGTCGTCTTAACCTTGGCTTTTCGGATTGTAAATCTTCTCATAGTATTTTTAGGTTCTGACCATGTGTTTTGCGCGCTTTCTTTGATCTGGCAGTCCTCTGCCCCTCCACCACATCTTCCTCCCTCCGAATCTACGTCCTGTTTCCGTCCCTGCGTCGATAGGGTTTGAGGGTCTTAGGGTTTAGGTTATTTGATTTTATAGCGGCCTCGAACAAAACAAAACGAACAACCACAACACCATACACCTTGCTTGTGCTCGATAAAACAGAGGAAGGCCGCACAAGTAGAAGTAAGTACTTATTATAATCAGCGCGACAAACCTTCTCTATTTCATAAAAGAAAAGGAATGGACTATACCATCTGCAGATCTGACTCCTTTGAAGTTTCATCAAGAAATAGGCTCCCAGAATTGATTTTGATGAAGCACGAAGATGAAAAACAACCCCATGAAAAAAACGGAGGAGAAGCGAGCCAGGATCTACGCACTCGCCTGCTCGAGCTTGTTTCTCTTCTATTAGTTTTGAACCAAGAAGATTCATGTTCATAACATCACAATCGGTAGCCTCTGCCCGGCGTTTTTTCCTTGCTAATTTTGTTTCACTCTCCTTCTTGCGTGTATGCTCTGTCGGACCTCTCGACCTTCATGTGATGTTATTTTTTGAGTGATTTTCGAGAGAGGGGGAGTGTGAGCGCGACGACCTTTGCGTCCGGTCATGATTCGTCTAAAACGATGCTCGGGTTGTGTGAGCAAAAAAGATCGTTGTCGGAAACAAGCACGAACAGAGCAGTGATAGAAGCACCCCAAAATAACCAAAATCGAAATTGATAGAGCACAACAAAACAAAATTAAACTGAGTGCGAGCATACCAAGACGGTAAAGCTCTGATCTGACTTCCATTTTCATGCACATTATTTTGTATTTAAAATTAAAACGATAGAGATTGAGGTCAATAGTGTCGCAATCCGTCCTATTTGAACTGCAGCCCAAAAGCAAAAACTTGCGCGCTTGTTTTCAACTTCGTGCTCCCCTACCATTGTTGCCGTTCTTCGTGTGGAGAAAACAGATGGACACGCGTCCAAAGAGTTTTCCCTCCCGGAAGGTAATTATTGCTAGAGCGTTGATTCTTTTCCAGTACAGAGGGGCCAACACTTGGCTCCGATGCCTGCGATTTGATGCATAGTAGTACTAGTAGACTCTTGTCTTGCACTGGTTGCATGAGATTTAACTTTGCAATAAACGACTGAGTTTTATTATTGCATCACACTGCAGGGGCCACACGAAGGTGATCGAAAAGTCCGACACGGGGCGGTGGACGACGCACGGGAGCGAAAGCGCCGCAAGGGGAGCGGCGCCGCAGTCCTTGGGGCCGTCCGTGCCCGGCCCACCGTGGGCCACCCTCGGGCCGACGGGTGGCGCCAGTCGTTGGCGCCCGCGTGCCGGGCGCCGCGTGTGGTGGCGCCACAGGCACAGACACTCGCCCCCATTCGTTGCGCTAGAAGTGGGGCCGGCGGTTTTCGCCTGGGCCCTGCGTCGTCATGCAGTTTTGGGCGAGGGCTTGCCGGAAGCCAGGCATTGCGCCCACTATTGCGTCGGCGCGCCCGCCGGGGCGGGTCGCGGGCTGGGCCAATCCGCGGCTAATTTTGTGCTCGCCCGGAATTCCATTCGGGCCCACGCATGGCGCCAGGCCTCAACAGAAACGCCAGGCTGCTTGAGCTTGCCCCCATCCAGTAAAGGGCCGAAAGACCACATTGGCGCGAGCGCAAGTTTCTTCGGCTGAGGCACCAAAGCTCGCCTACATGCCTGCATTCGGTTAAGGCGGTGTTGCTGTTCATGGTGATTGATTCAGGCTTATCCAACAGACACTGAAAGATGAACACGACGATGGAATCCACCCAATGCAATATCTGTGGATTACGACACAATTATTTTAGCTGCTTCATCGCAAACGAAATCATAATCAATTGCAATTGAATCTTTTCATCATTATATTTTGATTTTTCATGTTCTTGATCTCCATCAGATATCGTGCGAAGAATCAAATTGGAATTATTTATGGATAGAATCTTGAAGAATTTGATTGTCAATGGAAAAAAAAAATCGTTGGATTGTCAATTTCTTTCATGTCAAAGGAAATAAGATTCCACCATCATATCTTCTCTGTCCATATTCGGAAAAATTATTATTCTAGTGCAATTCTCCAGAATTCAGTTTGAATAATAATCTCGAATCAATTGTGATTCAATTCTTTCTTTTTTTTTTTGTTAGTGATGGAATCATGGTTTCCATGTGGAGGGTTTATCTTCCTCTCATGATATTCATATGAATCCGAGAAAAAACATAATTAAAATATGACCCCTCTCAAAAGAAAAAGAAAAAAAAAACAAATGTGATTTTTTCTATGATGATGAATATTGATTTTCATTTTATCGAATCGAATATTCAATGAATATATAACGAAATATCGAAGAATATTTATATGAATTGAGATTCTAATTCGAAAGATATTTATCGAATATCCCACAAAGATTTTTGAAATTGGATGGCAAATATTTCATTTCAGATTCTATTTTCTCATCATATTCTCATCTTTCTGTTTCTTCTATCTTCTCGGATTCTTCATAAGAAATTAAAAAAATAAATGTTCAGAAGAAAAAGATTTTCAATAGATCCTACCGATATGAAACACACACTCATCCATATGATTTCAATAATACCTTCACCTACATACACACATACTACCAATTTATCACTAGATCATTCGATCATCATCCATGACAATGACTCCAATCTTGATTTCTTCGAATATAATCATTATGATTTGAATTCATAAACCCAAAAATTTTGGTCCGAATGGGATTTTGAATCTTTGGAATGATATTTGATTTTGATTAAAGATATGAATTTCAGAATGATATTCGAGAAGAAAGAGAGACACATCTAGATCAAGAAAGAGGATAATATTGATTACCGAAATGATAAGACCATACTCATTACTTTCTTCGGGAATCAATTACGGATCGAAAAACGAAAACGAAAATCTAAATGAAAGAGATCCAAAACATCGAAGATATTTGGTGATATCAAAGCGCAACAATTTTAAAGCGCAACAATTTTTTCTGGATCAGGATCATTCAACAAAACCCGTGGCAAAACCCGTGGTGGATTGTGTTGGTTCCTCAGGTGTCTGAACAATGAACTGGACATGGCCTTCATTCATCGTTATTTGTGGTATGTGATCGCGAGAAAATCAATCCGCTTCCACAAGAGAAATGTTCCGTAGCGCGCGATAATTTTCATCCTGTCTGTAATCCGTAGCGTGCGATAATGTATGAATACGTAATTTGCAAATAATCACTCCGTGGTCCACCATGGTTGGTTGTGGTTGTGATTGTCTCTTGTAATAGTATTTTTGCAATTATTTCGTTGCAATAGAGCTAGTGCACAAGGTTTTGTATCTTTTTTTATCAACATGAACAATAGCTGCCTAATCGGTCGGATTTAGGGTGTGATTCAAAGTAGTTGTAGAAGCTTTTCATTGGAATCCTATCCAACATAAGAATTGGAATTTCGCGTGCAGCACACCACGGCGCGACCAGGAAAATATTAATTGATGCAGGCCATGGCCGCGCCTCGCCGTGATTTTTTACTTTACACTATTGCCGGCCTCGCCACATGCCTTCGCATCTTCCACAGCGTCGCACCATCGCATCACCGGGATTGGGCTTTTGTCTCGTAACAATAGTGCCACTTGTTCTCGTTCTGCGTCTGGGTCCTCTGCCATTTCTTGGCCGGGTGGCGATTGGTCCCTGGCCGGGGAGCAGGTGGTCCAGCTAGAAGCGCTTCCCAACATCGTGCTGGTGCTAGAAATCTTGCGCACTGGTTTCAAGTCAGTGCTTTCTATTTTGCAGGACCACGTCGTCGCAGACGTCGAGGCCGGTGAGGCACAAGAAGCCTTGTTTCCTCGTGAAGGTGCTAACGGCGGGAAGGCAGCAGAATCCACGCAAAACTCATCTGCTTGCACTTGGTGTGGCGGTTTGCGGGGCCGAGGTTGTGCAGCTGGCGTAGTCGTGGGCTGCTCACAAACAGATGACTTGGAGTTCGTGGCTACCCAGGCATCCGGCGCTGGGAGAAGATGGTGATTTTTTTGCAAAGAGTCACAGAAGATGATTCTATTTTTTACGAGAAAAAACATGCACCACCATCATCTTCTTTGCTTGTCTTTCCTACTTACAGGCTTTCTGCCAAACAAGCCTAAAAAGCTGTGGAAAAAATCTTACCTCCCCGGGCTGCTGGGCGTTTTGCAGTCGTACAGGGTTTTTTACTAGCGGTCTCAACAGCGGGACCAGGGCCTGCTGCTGGCGGTACATCGATATCGGTGGTCGTTTTTTGTACTTTCTTATCCTGGCTTCGCGCGGACAGGAAGCTAGCGGCACTTTGGGAGGAGGCGGTGTCTGTGCCGCCGCGCCTGCTGGTGCCACCTTTCTTACCGCGGCCATCTTGGTTCTTTATTTGGTTCGCCATTTGGTTCTTCTGCAGCTGTAGTACTCGGGATTGCACCGCGGCTGCGGCTTCTGGGAAAGACACCGGCACTCGTCCGTCCGCTTGTAGTGCTACAGGAGGTCCTCCAGGAGCGGTTCCTTGGTCCTCAGCTTTACCAGAAGTGCGTGACTTGTTGACGCCGTCGACAGCCTTGCAGCCCTGTGTCGTACGATCGTCAGTGTGGTCTTCTTCATACGTTACAGCTGGATCATCTTTTGAGGGTGCAAGGCTTCCTGCCATCTTCTTTATTACCAGCTCGTTTTCGGCAGCAACATCTTCTGCAAATGTACAAGAATTTTGCTGCTCCTCTTGTCGTCCTTTTTCTCTCGAAGTTGCAGCAGCAACACCAGCCTCTGCGCCGCCATCCGTCCGAGCATCAGATAACTTTCCGTCCGGCGGTGCGGCGTGAGAAGAACATGATGAAGTAGAAGCAATGATGTTCTTTTTCTGCTTCTTTTCCGCGAGCACGACCGCCGCGTCAGGACGACGGCAAGAAGACGAAGAAGAACTACCGCCACTAGCCTTGTTACCCTTCGACTCACGCTTCGGCAGCGGTTTGATGGGCAGTTCCAAGCGGTAACTCTGCTCGTGTTTCAGTTGCCACTCGTTTGGCAAGCACCAGTGGCACATCTCGCAGTCCACCCCGAGGTCACAATCTTGGTAGGGGCAGACGTTCTGGCAGCTGCACCCCATCGTGTGAAACCGGGCGGCCGGCTCGGAGGCGGATCCGCGCGAAATCATTTGTCGTGGGATCGTGTATTCCCGCTCCTGCAGCTGGTTCGGCCAGCACTCGTGGCAAAAGTCGCAGTTGGCCCCCCGCAGACACTGGTCGTGAAAGGGGCACGGCTATGACGTTCTCAAGTGTTACATTCTCAACTGTTACACGAATTTGTAATGCAAGAACGGCAAAAGTGAAAGCAAAGGCAAAGGGACAAGCTTGCGCCTTTTGCATTACAGATTTGGCACAGATTTCCATGCTGTGTAGCCCTTCGGATATCTGTCATGCGAAGCAGCTTAATCGTGGCGATCTTGGTGGTAAATTTGCATGACAAATCGTGTAACAGTTGAGAATGTAACAGTTGAGGACGCCATAACGGCGGCGCGCAGGTTCGGGGGTGGCCGACCGAACCCTTGGAAACCAGTTTGACGCAGTTACTCCCGGAGCAAAGAGATTGTCCTTGGTACGAAGTAGTTGTAGCGCCTTCTGTGGCGGCCGTTGCTCTTCGTGTAGAAGTTCCAGGTGCAGCGGCAAGCGCTCCGGCCGACGAAGCAGCTCCTGGATCTGATGTTCCCGGCGTGGTCGTCCAACTATCCCTCCTCTTGTCGAGCATGAGGGGCATTTGCAGTGGCAGGTTTCTCAACTTTTCGCGTTTGGCCTCGGACATGACCCCAATGTCAAATTTTTGCGAGGGAAAATGCAACTGTGCCCGAGGTTTGCCGGTTTGCGCGCAGGGCAGGGCATGGGCCGTTGCTATCGGAGGACCAGTACCACAACGGGGTCGGCGTTCATCGTTACCTAGCGCTGCTTCCACTAGTTGCTGGCGCTGCAGTTGTTTATCCGGTGGCCCTAGTACCGGAGACAGGGGTTCTGAAGATGCCGGCGCGGACGAGGTTGACCCGAGGGCTGGTGCGCTGCTGCTGGCACAGCAGCTACTATCTTCCGTGCCAGCAGCGGAAGACGATAAGAAGCTGTGATGCGACATCGCGCTCGAAGGAGCGACTTGCATCACATACACGTACTGGTGACCAAGGGCGGGAGCGGGAGGCGGACCAGCACAGGCGTTCACAATTCCCGGGTGGACCACTACGCCTTGTTGCAGGCAAGTACTTGAAGAGTTAGCTGCGACCATTGGGGCAGCAGCATACTGCTGTGCTGCATGTTCTTGCGACCTTGGCACTTGAAAATTCTGAGATGGCTGGTGCTGCTGTGTGCCTTGCGTAGTTGCCTGTTGCTGCTGCACAGGAAAAATGTTTGACGCTGGCGGAAAAATGTGGAACTGAGTCTGCTGTTGCTGATAAAAAACCGGACAATTATCATGCTGAGGTGCAGGAGCCCCCGGCGCCACCGTTGTGCTCGTGGTGGCCTGTGGCCTACTCATGTCGTTGATATTTCCTTCTGGGGCCCGTTGTGCACTACCGCCGCTCTCCGCCATTGCGCCTCCGAGCGTTAGCTGCCTTTTCACCTCCTCCGCGAGTTGGTCGAGTTGCAACAGATCGCTTCGCATCCCACAACCTGTTTGTGGACCGCTATAAAAATTTCCACCTTCTGAAGCTGCTGCGCTCCCAGCCGATATCTGGGACTGCGACGAGCATTGTCGCTGGAACAAATTAGTCGTAGAACAATTCTGCTGTGCATCGGGCCGTCCAGGATGTTGTTGACTATGGTCCTCGAAGGACAAGTTGAAGTTGGCAGTGCCACCACTTTCCTGCTGTTCGCTTATTTCTTGAAGCTGCAGAAGGTTGTGCTGGAGCTGGGGATCGTTTCCCATATACGGGGGCGGATCCGGGATGGGGATGCCCATCAGAACCACGGCGCAAGGAAAGATCTGTTGCTGGTGGGGAACTTGCAGTTGCTGCTGTAGTTGTTGTCCTTGCTCATCTTGCTGGCCCGCAGCTGCAGAGCCATCAGCAGTAATAAACCCGGGTTGATTGCAAGCGTGTCGAGTGTTGTAGCCATGCTGGACCTGCTGCGCCGGCACAGAAAAACTCTCCTGCCGCTGCTGCTGCTGTTGCTGGACCACCGGCTGGGCAGCAGCAGCCGAAAAATCATCCCTGGTACTGTGGCTCGTCATTCGTTCCTGCATCAACATGGGATGAAAGAAGCCCTGTTCTTGGCTGAAGTTGCGAAAAGGCACACCTGGGACGACGAACAAGTCAGATGGAAGCTGCGGAACAGGTGAAGACGGTTGGCCAAACTCAGTTTGATCTTCTTGCGTATGACGTTTTGGTGCGACCTGTTCTGCTCCTTCATTTCTTGCGCGCGCAGAGCTTGAAGGATGTTGATCTTCTGCGTACCGGCGTGAGGATCTGCAGTGCGGCAAGAACCATCCTTTGCACGACGACAATTGTTCCTGTTGTTGCAGCTCCTCTACTGTGGAAAGGTTTGTAGGCTGGGCCTGGTGTGCGTGTACTTGGTTATGTTCCACCTGCCGGTCGTGCTGTCCGCCCTGCAGCTCGTGGGCGACTTCATCTACGTGTCCGGGGACTTCTTGCTGCGTCGGTGCAGGAACTTCAACATCTGTGTTGGGCCCCGCCGCCCCGCCTACCGGCTGTGTCCAAGATCCTACACGGGCGCCGAGAGCGAGTCGGGCAAAGGCACCCGCGAGGACGAATGTAGTAAAACTGAAATGGAAGAACGCCAACATGCTGGCGCTTGTAATGTAGTACACTTGGCGTTTTTTCTAGTTGTAACAACGAGTGGTAGCTCGAAAACAACGGTTTTTTAGCAGCGAAGTAGCGGAAATAAACTCAAAACATATGCACAAGTTTCAGGAGGGCGGCCCGATAGCGTTGGATCAACGTGAAGAATTCGGCGACTTTAAAGAGAAAAAAAACGAAGCAAAAGGAAGAAAGCGATCTTGCTCCGTTGGCGCAAATAAAGCATAAAGTGCCTTTTCGAATAAATGAATTCAACATCGAAGGCTCCGTTAGTACCAGTACGGGAAGGTACTTCTTATAAAATGCATACAGGTAAGGTGGTTTTCGTTTTAGAGGTGCGACGTCCACCTAGCGTGCAAAAAGAAAACCTTAAAGTAACAAAACTGTTCACATCAACAAAATGTGCTCGAGACCGACAACAATTGTGACGAGAGGAGACATAAATCTCAAGCACAAGCAGGTGAAAAACAAAAGTCGACTGCTCACGCCGATTCCGTAATTATCAAAAATCGAAATACAGTGGCGACTGTAAGTGAAAGAACCTCGAGTCTTATGTGGTCACTGAGTACTGTGACTGTCCTGCAAACAATAGTAAAAGAGCCCGGAAAATAAGAAATGCCTTCTTCTTGCAAATGGAATTATACCGAAAAACAAAATGATCTCGTGCAGCTCTGTGGCCTGCAAGGTCCTATTGCGGAAACGAATGATGGTTGCTAAAATTGATCCACCGCTTTTTGATCCACCTCTACGACTTCGAAAAGGTATGCAATATTCTGAGCTATTTTTGCGAGTCGGCTTCTCCTGTGCACGGAAATCGTGAAGCTCAAGCTGAAGACGTACTACAGATCGGATGAGTTGATTAGTACGGGAATAGCATGGTGCAACTTAATAAATCGAGATCTCAATTAGTCCTCGCGCAACATACATGCTTCAGCGCGGAAGATGAACCTTTCCATAATGGATATGGATCTTCGTGCAGTTCCAGCAAACAAGAGACAAAAAACTAGGAGATCGTTCTGTCATTCCCAGTTTCGACCGCATCAAGGAAAAGGGGAACAAAAGCCAAGTTGGGCAGACCCGAAGCCTCAACGACACCGGAGGGTTTAGGATTTAGGATTCGGGGTTGATGTCTCGTCGCTTTTATTTCCGCGTGCTGCTGTCGCTTGAAATTCAAATTATTTCAAAAGTGCCTTTGCCTCATTCACTTTCACATGTGGGGGCACTGTAGTTTGTCTTTCTTGTATAAACAGAAACCTGGAGCAGAGACTCAGGCACCTGGCGTAGCTCTGTACAGGTGGGATATTACGAGCTGAGACACAACAAGATGATCGTGCGCGGGGTGTTCTTACAACCATCCAAAACAGGAACACCTCTTTCTGGATGATCATGATTCTCACATGATCCCCCCTCCACCCCCCATTTGCTGCATGACCCAGGCCGCGCGCAGTTCCTCGCTCTGCTTGCAGATCGCCCGCCACTCGCGGTTATAAAATGTAAAAATGTCTGGGTCGGGAAGAATGCAAGATTTGTGATGCAGGTTTTCCATGACCCATGAGGTGTGGAATGCGAGACCCAGCATGACAGATTCTTTGAGGTCTCTATCATGCCTTTCCTGCATGAGAAACTCCCTCGCAACTTGGTCAAAAGCCGACAGCTTTTGGCACTCACGCAACACAGAATTTTGCATCATTTAGATTTAGCATGACAAGTTCAAATCTTCCAGACCCAGGCATTTTTGCATTTGATAGCGGTTCTGACCCTCCACGGAGAGCAGCCCGACCGCAGCAACCCCGTTGCTGTCCCGCAGTCTCTTCAGCGTGAAGCCCAAGCTGCGCCGCGTCAGCGCAAACACGATCGGCAAGTTCTGGCTGCGGCACTGCTCCATCATGTCCTCTACCGTTTGGTCCAGCCCGCGGGCGCTGGATTCCAGGTCCGGCGCCACGATCATGCCGAGCAGTTTTTCGCGCTTCAACGCACGGGCAATTTCGCGGAGCCCCAGCACGAGCCGTTTCTGCTTCGCAAATTTCATCGGATTGGACTCCTTCACGCGCTCCTGGTACATGTTAAGCTGAAGCAACATGTTTTTCACCTTTTCATTCAAATCCTCGGAAATCAGCGCGTGCACGTAGTGCCGGATTCGGAGAATATTGTTGCTGTGATAATTAGAAGTCGCTGGTGGCGCCGGGGCGGACGAGGATGAGGATGCTGCAAAGTGCGATTTATTTCCTTTGCCCGGGAGGTTATTTCCGCCTTCGAGGTGTGGTTTATCCCCTGTCGTATAGAAGTTCTTGTCGTTACGGTGGAGTCGGTATTCGAAAAAGGGCTGGTGGTTCCAAATGGTCGCTGGGGGTGGTTGACTTGTTGAAGGAGCTTTGCTGCTGGACGAAGTACCTGCACTAGAAGCCGCGGCAGCCTTACTTCCCTTGCCGCCTGTGGGTCTATTGCCGCTAGAAGTTTGATCTTGCAATGGCAGATGAAACATGTCCGCGTAAGCTTCTTGAACCCATTCCCATTCGCGAGGAGGGGGTGTTTGTTCCGGCGGCAATGCAGCTGTGACAGTTGAAGTCTCGTCCCCTGGGGTTGTCGATCCCGCAAGAGGTCGAGACTGTCCACCGAGTTGGAGCGCCCAGGACGGGAGCTGGAGCGTCTTGTACCTCCTTTGATGAGCCACAACTCCTTGTTGACTTGCTGCAACAGCAGATGACCCTTCGTGAGTGTCAGCAGCACTGGAGGATAAACTTCCCGGCTTTATTTCTTTTTCGGTGTTGCCAACGTCTTGGTGTCCTCCAGCTACTGCGCTGTGCTCTTTGATATCTTCGAAAAGCAGGCGGCACTCTGCTCGAAACGCGTCGCTCCACTCTTGGTCCGATGGCATGGCCAGTCCGTTTGGTGTTGGGCTCCCTTTCTGACCTTGCTTCGCCTTTTCCGCCCCAGTTGCAGTTCTTTCCGCCACTGGACTTGCTGCTACACCAAGGGCTTTCGACGGTAGAGACCCGGAAGTAGCAGTTTCCACTGGGTTCTCTTCAACTCTAGGATCGCCTTTATGATGTGTCTTTTTATCTCCTGCTGCACTGCCACTGTCGCCTTCTGCCTCCGTCCCGCTGCTGTGCAGCAGTTCCGCCGCGTCCGCGTCGGCTTCGAGCAGCTCCCGAATGGAAAACGAGAATGCGAAAGGGTCGACGCTTCGAGTCTGCTGCAGCTGACCAACAGGAGGAAATAGTGTCAGGCTTTCTAGTTTATTGCAATTCGAACTTTCCACCGGATGAGCATCTTCGGCGTCCGCAATGCTGGAAGTATCTTGTTCATCTGCCCTGTGTATTGAAAAGGGCCGGAACATTGGTGTGTCGCGGACAGAATACAGATTCCGCAGCCGCTCCCGCTCGGTTTCCGCGGCCTCGTACTGATCTAGCTGGATCAGCTTTTTGAGTTTGGACATCCGAACTTTTTTTTTCTTCTGCAACCGCTCGCCGCCGACGCGCAGGTTCTTGGGGTCCAGCCCGGCAGCCGCCACATTCTCGAAGAATTTCAGGCGGCGCTGCTCGAACTCTGCCGCGTTCATCTTGTGGTGAAGGGTGTTCGTCCGGGCAGGAGCTGGAAGCAGGAGCTCGCGGCGGCTGGTGCTGCGCACGCAATTCACTGCTTGCAGAGGCGGTTAAAGAAGAAGTTGTACAACATTTTTCAAAACCGTGCTTAGTTGTAGTATACTCATCTTCCAAGGTGAAGGTCGTACTCGTGATCGAGATCGTCACGATCAGAAAAATTTTGCACTCTTGAAGAGAGCATCACATTGTCCTTTTATCCTCCTTCCACGTGGTAGCGTCGCTGATCTGATGAAAATCGGTTATCTACACCCAATGTGGTCACAATCTTCACATATCATGGAAATGGATGGACCAGGGTTAAAGAGAAACCAGATTTTTCGAGAAAAAAAAAGCGAGCTACCGCGCCTCTCGACGGGGGAGGGCGCGATACGACGACATCGGATGATGTGTCTCGTACCCGTGGGCCGTTTTCTTTCGGTCTTGTTTGGAAGCCTCGGCTTCTTCGCTGCATATCAACGCTCATAATCTCTCCGTGATTTGTGTGTGCTGGCCTTGATCCATGATCCGTAGTTTATGTTGCCGGCGCAAAATGCGTGATCTTGACAAGTTGTAGTGAACGTGAACAAGGTGAACAAGGATACTATTTGCCCTTGCATTTTCGACGCAGATAGTGGTACGGCTGCTCGACGGTAACCCAAGAGGCGATAGCAGTTAAGCCTTTGCGCCTTTACTTCGTTTTACAAGAAAAAACCCATCATTTCTCTTTTCTAGAAGTTCTTTTCGAATTTTCTAGCTCTTGTGCTGTCCAGAGATACATTCTTTTGCTTTTCCTTGAAGCAAAAACAAAATGAAAGAACATGGCATGGTCTCTAGCAAGCGCAAAAAAAGCGCATATCGGTAAGAAATCAGAAGACCCGCATCTCGCATGAGCTTGTTGTGGTTATCCTGCTGTGTTTGACTTTGAAAAGGTAGTGCAGATCTACAGCTTGCATTTGAGAAGTTTAGGCCAGGAAGGCGAACAAGGACTGACCTCGAATCCAAAACAGATTTACACAAAATCATGCCTCTCGTCGTATTGGTGCACCACCTTCTTTTTGGTCAGTAATTTAGTTCTGGAACTCGCATACGCATCTCCGTTCTTTAGGTTTTCTGTTTGTGTCGGTATTGTTTCGGTACCATGTAGTGTGATGCACAAAAAAACAGAATAGTGTTTAGGAGGAGAGAAGGTTAAGGTTCGGAGCCGTGTCTGAATGAACTGACCACAGAACTCAAAGCAGTGTCAACTGAAGAGGGAGCGGCGCCGGTAGAAGTGCGAAACAAAAAATTTGAAAAATGTCAAAAGAAAGGAGCGAAGGCGAAACTCAAGACGCATCAAGTATTACATTTTGAAAGGTCGAGTCAGGCTCAGGCGGTCGCAGGCATAGGTGACGGCCTGTGTGTTGTTCTTCATTCTTGGGTCATCAGCAGGAAGTAGACCTGCATTTATACGAATGCGATAGACTTTGTAATGCAAGACTTGCATTTATACGAATGCGATACTTTTGCACAGAATACACCGTTGTCGGGTACGACTTTCTCCTCCGCGACGTGGACCGGTGCGACTGAGCAAGAGCGCGGCCGGGGGATGAGCAAGAGCGCGGCCGCCGTACGACGGCGAGACACACTGGAGGCGGTCAAGCAGATGGCTCTGTTTTCGCTACCAAAGAGCGCGCGGCCGACCGGGAGCAGGGCGGGTGCTGGTGCTTGCCAGCACCTTTCTTGCCTTTGTTGGCGGGGTTGAGACTGCACTCGTAGGACGTGTGACTGCAGTATTTCTCGTGGTACTTGCACCACTTTGCTCCGGCGCGGCCGGGCGGCGAAAAAGGCGTAGTAGCGGTGGACTTCGGGTGGCCGGATCCTTTCCCGCTGTTGTTCTGTGACCCCCACCCGTACATGGCGTGGGTAGCTGTTCCGTCACTGCTGTCCTGCTTCGCCTTGGTGGGCGACAGCTTAAAATACGTCTCCAGGTGGGCCTTGACGTTTTGCGAAGCGAATCCCGATTCGTTTTCGGTCGTCTCCCTCGCAATCCGGTCCACCAGTTGTCGCTCCGCTGACTCGTCCAGCCCGGCGCTGGCGATCATCAGGAAGCCCAGGAGCGTGCTGGGGAGCTGCCAGGCCCGGCGAACCGCTTCCGGAAGTCCGTGAGCGTGTCCACCTCGGCGTTGAAGACCGGTTGTTTTTTGAAAAGGTGGTCGTACTTCTTGTCGTCTGGCATGTTGTTGCTGTTCCCCTGCGGTTTGTTTCCGTTCATCATTTTCCAAATTTGCTCCCCACCGATGTACGAAGAGGTTGTTGTGGCACGATAGGCAATCAACTAGTGGCCCAAGTCTTTTGGAAAACTGGTTGTACGATAAGGAAGATTGTACGCCCAAGAAGAAGAAGAAGATACGACTAAAGACGAAAAAACTTAAATCTTTAACGAACAAGATACGCGTATATGTGACACAGACCGAAGATCGTTAAAGAGGTATTTGGGCTACTTCTTTTGTTCTTTAACAATTTAGAGTTTTACCGTGCGCAAAACCGAAGGCTGTTAAAGATAAAGCGCTACCACTATTTATGGAGGTGGGTAGGCAAAATGGGGTAAGTTCAGGTTCTCCACCAATGTTGGATCTTCGGAACACTCAGAAATTACTCCGAGGATTGGCCAAAGATTCGCGTTGATAGATTCCCAAAAGACTGTTCGTTTTTCATGAGAATTGTTCGAGTTCGGATTTGATTTCCGCATGAGAAATCATGCTTCTTTTTCTTGTTTCTCATCGTGGAAAAAACATTTCTCGCTTCACAAAAAACAAAACAGAAATTCGTTTTTCTCGTTTACAAGAGTGTGGAGACACAACGGCCTGTGTGTTGTTCTTCATTCTTGGGTCATATGCTGTTGTTTGATTTTTACAGTTGCAATACAGTTTCAGATACATCAACTTCAAGGCTATAACGGGCTGAATCTGAAATGAAATCATATACGGGAAGCTAAATCACTTGGTTACTGATAGATCATGACAAGACATCAAAAGTTGGCTGTTACATCAACGAAACACGATGCAACAACTGCGAGCTCCGTGAAGTGGTGGAGCGTGTTATTTTTTCTCGTTTATACAGATCGCGATTTTTATTCTGTTCCACGAACTAGAATGGTAATGATTTGATGTTTTGTTTTCCGCAAAAATAAAAAATGCGCGAAAGTCCGATGTTATTTATCATCTCGCGCTTCCTGGACCTGGTGTTTTCCTCTCACGTTTCCGAGGACCAGAGTCTGCGCAAACGCAGCTGGAGGGCCGGAAAAGCTTGCAGAAAATTAAAGCTCCGGGCTGGCGTAGTACTGGAGGCTGACGGGGAGGAGCAGGAATCATCAAGCGGCACGGAAGAACAAGATGAAGATGATGCTGCATGAAGATCCGCACTCATTTCATCTTGCACGGAGTCGCGACGACCGTCGCCGCTGTGCAGACGGAGGTCATCTGAAGAAGATGCAGGCGCAACGCCGACGGTGCTACTGCTTGCGGATGCCGCTCTACCATGTCGCATGTTAGTGTCTCTATGTTCTGTAAAAACCGTGGCTGCAGGTCCGTTACTGCTTTGCTCCCGTTCTTCCATGTTCTGCGCCTGGGAATGTGAGGACAACTTCTGATTGATGTGCGAGTGTGCAGTGATGTCAACATGATCCAATAAGCTTGGACCACCTCGGGTGGTTCCACTGATCGTTCCAGCCGCACGCAGCATCCCGAACACCGACTGCCAATACGGAGAGAGACGGTAGTTGCGTTCGGAGAGTTCCTTGATGACCAGCTGAAACACCCTCCTCGGATGCCGCTCCGAGAAGTAAAGCAGGTCCTGTTTCATCTCGAAGCCGATACCATCGTGGTCGCGGTCTTCGTGCTGTCCTTCATCAAAGTCGGTGTTGTGCGCAGCGGCACCAGAAGCGTTTCGCAAGGCGGCAGATGGCGATGGTGCCCGGCCACTGCGTCTAGGTATAGCGACGGCGGTGCCGCCGTAAGTTATCCACTCGACATTATGGGCGTACGCTACGAGCCGTTCGCGATCGGCGAAGTTCTCGGTGCGCTCCAGGTCTTTCAGAATCTCCTGGAATTCGGCCTGGATGTTTTGCGTCGCCAGAGCGCGCGTGTACAGCCGGAAGGCGAGCTCCTGGAGCGTGGAAGGCCTGTAGGACGTGGCGTAAATAGAGCTGGGGTTCTTTGCAGTGGTTGGCGTACGGAGTGCTGAGCCTCTCGCAACATCACCTGGATCCGCGGTCCGTGCCCAATCCCCCCTCCGCCGTTGCGGAAAAAAGAGACTCTGCTTTGTTCTCGTCCAACCGGTATTTTGTTCATCAGGCCGAAATAGCGCGGGGGCCCGTTCTTGGGCCCGTCGTGACGTAGACATGTGGTAACGCTGTTGTGCCTCGAAAGTCATCGCTTCCGGATGTTGAAGTAGTAAAGCTGCACCATTTCCATTCAACATCTCGCCGTCCTCTGCACTTCTCGCTGGCACTGATGTTGGTCCACCTCTTGAAACGGACAGGTTCGCGATACCCGCGCGGGACAGTTCCATTTCTTCCTCGTCTGCACTGCTTACGTCGTGGTCTCTTTGGCTTTGCATTTGCTCTACATAACTTTTTCTTCCTGGTGCAGCCAGGTGGTCCGTGAAAAAGCGTCCGGCGCGCCAGATGAAGGTCGCAATCTGCGTAGCAATCCCAGTTGGGTCTCCGTGCAACGACCCCTGGAAGAGCTCGGTCAGGATCTGTAGTGTTTTCCGGGCAGGGATCGTATCTATGATCTGCGGCCGTAATCGCTGCAGCGCGGCGGAGGTGATCATTACCGTGTTTCTACTTTTTGGTGCTGGCTGGTTGCTAGGCGGCGAGGTTGTAGGAGCTCCTGTAGATGGAGCCGCACCTCCGGTTGAAGCTGAGGGTCTTGTAGTCGTGGCATTGGAGATGCCTTCACGACCTCCTGTACCAGTAGCTGCCGCCAAAGAGGCCACCACTCGCTGCGGAGCAGGTGGTTCCTGTATCGCTGCAGTTGCTGGCGTCACCCCCGTCAGGATGTGTCGGAAGTGATTGCGGTCGTCTTCCCACGCATCCAGCGCCTCGTCGAAGTCCGGAAGCGCTCGGTGGATCGGATTCGAAAGCCAGGTGAGCAGCTGGCAAATCCGGTCATAGTAGAGTTCGAAGTGACGCATGGTCGGGGCATTGTTGTTGTGTCGTGGAAGTCTTCGCACTTCTTGTTCTTTTAGGTCGTTCTTGTGCGCATTTCTGGTGTTCCTGTTCGGCTCCAAGTCCGAACCCGAAGCAAGACTCGAGTCGTCCACCTGACAAGATGGCGGACGATCGGCTTCGGCTTCTGTTTCTACTGTTCTTGTAGTGGTTCTTGTACTTCCTCCTCCAGCCACAACGGAGAAATTCTGCGTCCAGGTCTCCCTCGCATCTGGGTCCAGCCAGGGCAAAAGCAGCTCGTCAATAGTCTCCCGCCATTCGCGCAGAATCCAGGCTCTCGCGTCTGCGATATAATCTTCACGGCGCTTGTTCAGTGCTTCTTTGTCCTCCTCGTGCTCTACTTTCTCTTTCCCCGCGGGGTGGGCATCGGGGTCTGCGTCCACGTTGAAAATCTCGTGGCGCAGCAACTTTAGTGTAGTTTGTGAAGCTGCGTGGTCACTGCGGTTTCCACCATCCGCAGCTCCGACGTGGTCCTTTACCTTTTGGTCGCTCTCGTCATCGTCGGCGTTGTCAAAATCCATGTTCCAAAAGACCTCGCTCGCAAACCACCGCCACAGCCTCTTTCGTGTTGGGCGGTCGAGAAGGAAGTTATTGACAAGGCTTTTAATTGCAGTTTCGGAAACTGCAAGTGAAGACACTTCTGTAGAAGTCGCCGCACCCCGACTCCGGGATCCTGCAGGTGGTGTAGATCTCGTCCGTGCGTCATCCTCTTTTTTGTCCTCCCGCACCGTCGATGAAAGTAGTTCGCGCGCCACGTTGAGGATGATCCATTCGTTGCATTTTTTCATGTCCAACGCCAGGAAATCTGCGACCTTTGCCAAGGTTGTCGCTTGCAGGGGCGGCAAGGAAGCTGCTCCTGAGCTCGTTGTCAGTTCTTTGCCATCAACATCAGCATCGACTACAGGAGCATGATCATCTTGGGCTTCATCCCGGTCATCAAGAATGCTGGCGTCACGTAACAGAATTGGCACAACCCGCAAGTTGTCCAGTTGTCTTTCTTCTTCCCACGATAGCTCTTGATGCTCTACCACGGGCACTGCTGCAGTTTCTTCTCTTTCTACGGCTCTTCCTGGGAAGATTTTTCGTTGTGCCTCCTCCTCGTCGTTATCCATATTATCCTCGTCCTCTACTCCCTCCAGTTGTAGCCATTTTAACAAATTTTTGTGGGGAGGAGACGAAAACGCTTCGGAAGGAGCTGCAGAAGAAGATGATCTTCCCGGTGGAGCACCAGGATCAAACCAACTGCTACTCGCGCTGGTGGTCATACTGGACGCGGACAGGGACCGGGGTTTATAATTCTGAGCATGCTGGTGGTACGATTCGTCGTGTTGTTCAGGGATCCTATTTTGACCAAGCTCGTCGTCGTCGCGAACGCGATCTTCTTCTGCTTTATTTGCACATTTTTGAATGTTGACGAGGCTCGCTGTGGGGTCCCTGGCGGTCTGAAGTCCTCGCGGATCATCTTCATCCCCCTTGCCGCGGCGGCCCAGATAGTTGAGGAGCAGCCAGCGTGTCTCTTCCTGGTGCTGCTTCAGAAGCGGAAACAGCCACAGCTCGCTCCAGGAAATAGATGAGGGGCTTGTTCTGTCATCACCCGCCACATGCTGAAAGAAGTCGGTTAAGACTTTCGATTCCGCAAAACCTGGGCGCCAGAAAAGGATGCTTGAGGTCGTGGTGGAAGAAGATGACGACGAATCTTCGGATTCACGACAAGCGGCGAAAGTAGAATGCCCACATGTAGCAACTGTCTCTGTTACAACCTCAGGCACAGTGACTACAGTTCTGGAAAGTAAATCGGGCGGTGGTGTGGGCGTCGCATGCTGGGAAGTGGAACTGGCTGGCAATAAATCTGGGCTGAGTGAGACCCGCTTCCACACGCTGGATCGCGCCGGGAGCACAAACTGTCCGAGAGAAATCACAAGCAAGAGGAGAACTGGCCCGCCACAGGAATTGGAGTAGAGCATCGAGTTGTACATTTTTGCAGTTCATCAAAAGGACCACTTCTACACAAAGCTAAAGCAGCGAATGCGAATCCTCCCTCGTACGTGAAGAAGAAGTATACTACACTAAGACACAGCGATCTGCTAGTTGTATTGACACAACCGCGAACGCTTTTCAAAAAATGACACGGACTGCGCCGAAGGCAAAGAGCTTGCTTTCAAAGACGCCTTTACAACCGGCAGAAGTAATAGAAAGATCGGAAGTAGTTGTCAAAGAGGTTCCTTCAAAACTTCAACTTCTAGAAGATAGGTCCGGTACCGTACGATTAAGTACAACACTTCAAAATTTGTACATGAACATGTGCCAAAAACTGCAAGAAGAGGCTCATCTGGTAGATGTTGGCTACTTACGAGGTGCTTCCTGAAAATCAAAAGATATGTTAGGGTTTTGGTTTTCATGAAACAGAACCAAATACAAGAAATAGAGGATGAAGGAAAAAAAGGATCCGCACCTGGTACCAACGCTGGCGCACGCTGCAATCGCAAGAAATCCGTAAAGTTGTATCTCGCTTATTTCCCGTGCAGTTTTGATTTTGATCTTGCTGTGCTGCAGAAGCAACATTCGGTGGAGCGACGGCAGTGCTATGGAACAACATCAATCCGAAAAAATATGAATAACTCGCTGTGTAGTTCAGGCCGAAATAAGAACTCATCTTCAGGCAAGCAACATCAACGGACAAAACAATGCCCAGCACGAAAAAGTATCAGTCTCCGCGGTCAAAGAGATTCAAAAAAGCGGCAATCATGAACCCGAAGCCCACCGCCAGCCCGACGAAGCACACCGCACAAAACACCTTCCCGGGTATCGTATCGAAGAAACAGCTACACCACTTGTAGCCGCTGATGTACTTGCCGTAGCAGTAGCAACAGGCGTTGATTGCGCGGAAGCAGGGCAGTTTCTCGACGCACTTCGCCAGGGCGGACTTTTCTTTCCCGGCACTGCCCTCGCCTGCATTTATTCTGTGCTCCGGCTGCTCGAGACTGCTGTCAGAATAGCTGCTCACGTACTTAATCTCTTCGGGCGGGCGGGGCGATCTCGTCCTTCGGGGCTCGATGCTTTCGTTGCTCTTGCTGCTGCTCTTACTGTTGTTCCTCATTTGTTGTTGCCTCGGCGACATCAAGTGCGCGACCCCACGGTTCTTTGCCTGCTGCTCCGCAGAAGGTCGTGGAGACCGCCGGCGCCCGAGCCCGCCAACTCCCCGTGGCGACGGACCGACGACGAGCCGCGAGGGGTCATTCGCAGGATTCCGCAGACCACCGGCTGCGCCTGCTCGGGGTGACGGCCGTGGAGAGGGACGCGGGGAGGCACGAGGTGATGCTGGCGCAACCCGATTGTGGCCGGAGCCGCCACCAGGCGGTTTGTTTTTGGGTTTCGGGAGGAAAGCCATGAGTTTTTAAGTACTTGGTAAGGAAAAGGATGAGCACGTCAGATAATTTTTTTGGCAGCTGAGGCTGTTCATGGCCGTAGAAAAACCTACTCTCAGTCTCAAATGACGCACGCGACAAGTACTTAGGTGCACAGCGGTCAGAGCACCTTTTTGTTCTTCGAAATAGAAATCGAAATGTGCCAGTAAATGAACCGAATAGGTGTAGTTAGTCATAGGGAGCAGGTAAACCGACCGACGACCGAGAAATAAATGACGGGACGACACGACACCAGTAGAGAACAAACGCTCCAGCATCTTGTTTCTCCCACCTTGTTCTGCAGGTCTAACGGATCCGCCAAGGTGGAAAGACCCGTAACCGCTGAAACCTTGGTCTTGTATTTCTCTGGAATAGTATCGATCTTCATGACAGTCTCTTGGCGGCTTGCATTCTCATTTTGCTGCCTCGCTCCGTCGAAACAAGCATTAATGTTGCTTAGCACGGGCTATCGTGAAGTGGTCCTAAAGTGGCCGCTAAGCGCGTGTGGTTTTTTGTCTTTTTTGAATACGTGTGTTAATATCGTGTAGTTGTAGTGCAACCACGGTCGTCTTAGTACATGCTTGATAAACCACAAGGGGGCGGGTTGGGTGTTGCCAGCGTTTCCACCTCAGCGAGCAGAGCGGTTCCTGGTACTGGCAAACGCGAAAAACATGCAACATAGGCATAGCCCACAACGACAACATTTTTACGTCAACACAATGTCCTCGTCCCCCGGTGTTGAGTCTAAAACAGGCTGTGATAATATGCGTCACAGGTTTGGACTTGGACTGTAGATGAAGTTGTCATCGTGGCTGTTCTGTCGCGGAAACGAGATTTTGAACCACAAAGTGACATTCACGAAGTTGTGCGTTTTGCGCACTCATGATATTGATAGTGTTGCGATGATCACTCATGAACCACGTGCATGGAGCCTCAAGTAAACATATCGATATGCAGCTCAATCTGAAAAATTTTGATCATGAAGCATCACTAGGGGGCTGGCCTCTAAACCTTTCCAATAGACAGAAAGTCAGATATCGTATCGTACACGTACTACTCAAGTCTTGCATTGAATCTTGATCTTCTGGTTGCTTGTAGTTTTCGCCCCCGAGAGACGACAGGCAGCAACGTCACACGTGAAGCGTAACTGGGTCCGCACTGCGACCGCGTGCCGCCTTTTTAATATGTGCTTCTACTCTATCCCTGCCGCCGGGTCGGACAAATGTACGTACCGCAGCTGCAGCGAGCTCAACAGCACCAGCGTGCTACTCGACGCCATCGCTGTCCCGGCCACCAGTGGGGGCACGGAGAGTCCGCAGCACTGGTAGAAGACGCCCGCGGCCAGGGGCAGCATCAAGAAGTTGAAGCAAAAGGCCCAGAAAAAGTTCAGTTTGATCGTAGCCATCGTTTTCCGTGCGAGTTGCAGAAACGGCACCAGCGTTTCGCCCAGATTTTCCTTCACCAAAACCACGTCTGCGGCGTGGACAGACACGCTGGCGCCGCACCCGATCGCCAAGCCCGCGTCCGCGGCGGCCAGCGCGGCGGCGTCGTTCAGGCCGTCGCCGACGAAGAAAACGATTGACTTTTTATGTGGTTTTGAAGTGGAGGAAGACACAGCCGGGATCTGTTGAAACGGCGTGGAAACCCCGCCGCGCGGCAAGGCCTGCAGCTCCTGCACGAACGCGGCCTTGTCCTGCGGCAAACACTCGGCCCGCACGTGCGCCAGGGGGATCCCGACTTCGGTCGCCACACTGACGGCCGTCGGGCGCGCGTCGCCGGTGCACAGATAGACCTTCGCCTGGAACTCTTGCTGCAGTTTCGCGATGGACTTCGCGACGTTCGGGCGGATTTTGTCCGCGACGGCCGCCCAGCCGAAGGGGATGCCGTCGATGGAAACGTAGATCAGCGTGGCGGCGGTGCTGGTTGCGGCTGCTGGTGATGTGGTGGAGCTGCCGGGGGTCGCGGGTTGTAGTGCACGATCGCTTTTCGAATTTGTCATGGTGCTACTACCGTCGAGGGACGACCACGTCGCCTGCCCCTTGTTTTCCTCGTTCAACACAAACGCAGCACTACCGATTTTCACGAATCGCCACTGGTTTTCGACGTCGTTATGCCACGGAAACAGTACTTCTCCCTGGATTCCGCGCCCCGCGACGTTCTCAAAGTTCCGCACTTTCAACTCGATATCATTGTTGGGCGAAAACGCGATCGAACCGCTCTCGGCGACCAAATCTACTCCTGCACGACTCGCTGCGTACGAGTCATCTCCCATCATCTGTTGATTTAGCAGCAACCGCTTCGTCTGCTTCCGCGCGTACGCGACCAACGCAACGGCCAGCGGATGTTCGGATTTATCTTCGAGCGCCGCGACCGCGTGCCACAAGTCCCGTTGCCGATCCTCCTCCTCCTGAACCTCAACCTCGCCCGCGAGGTCAACCGGTTTCCCGATCACGAGGTTTGGAGGGTCGGCGTTGGCATTCGGGGTGGCACCAATGGTTTCTGCAGTTTTGTAGTTTTGTTTCTCGTCTGGGTCTGCATCTGCCCCCGGGGCCGGCGAGGAGGAGGACGCGACAACGGCAGCTTGGTTGCTGTGTAGGGACGAGGTTTTGGAAACGGACACATTGAAAAGTGTTCGGTCGGCAGAGCTTGTGGGATCCGTATTTGCAGTTCCGCTCACCAGAGTGCCGGTCCGAACCACGATCGTTCGCGACGCGCTGGTAGAGGAAACCTGGTCTGCTCCGTCGCCCGGCTGCACGGGCGATTTCGTGCTGGAGACAGAGGATTTCGTGTCGGAAGCAGGTGGAGACACGTCATAGTAGATGCCGGACTCGACCACCCGGCATCTGCCTTCCGTCAACGTCCCGGTTTTGTCTAGAACGATCTTCAGGCCCTTTCGCGCCCCGCTCTCCAGCGGAAACCCGCCCTTCAAAAAGATTCCCCGCTCCGCTGCCACGCCCGTGGCGACCAAGATTGCCGTCGGCGTGGCCAAACCCATCGCGCAGGGACAGGCGACCAGCAGCACGGCCAGCCCAAACTTCAGGGCGAACAGCGTGTCAAAGGCGTGGGCGAAAAAGGTCCCCGCCTCGTATTGTGAGGGAAAATCCCCCCTCCCCATATCGAAAAGGCACGTAGCAGAAAATTTGCAATGCTGATTTGCGACCACAAATCGTCTCTATCTTGCAAGAAGGCAACTCCACAGGCTCCGCCGCTTTATGCAGGCGATTTGTGATGCTGTTGGGCCTACAGCGCAGACGTTTCTCATGCTAAGAGCCTAGCCCAAAACCTCTCTGCTCAGACTTGGTATGGGCCTGCAGTCCTCTCCAGCAAGACAAATCTGATCTGTGTACGCAAATCCAGCATCACAAACTTCGTTTCGATATGGGGTTGGGGGATTTTTCGTTTTGATACCTCGTCCTGCATCATCATGTTGTCCATCGACTCGTTTTCCGGCGCGCGGACCTCTGGCGACGAAAAAACCGTGATGAGCCAAATCACCGTGGTGCAGAACGCGAGCAGCATCACCGCGGGCACAAACTTCCGCGCGATCTTGTCGGCCATGCGCTCGATCTCCGGCTTGTGCGACTGCGCATCCTTCACCATGGAGGCAATCTCGCTCAGCATCGTCTTCGACCCGATCCGCGTCGGCTGCAGGTAGCACGAGCCTTTCAGCACGAAGCTGCCGGCGTAGAGCGTCTGGTGCACTTCCCGGATGACGCCTTGTGATTCCCCGGTTAAGAGAGCTTCATCGACGGTAACGCGTTGATGATGGGTTATTTGCTGAAGATTTTTGTTGTCATCACGGATTTTTGTAGAAGACGATGTTGACGATGCGCTCTTTGCGTTACTTAAGTTACTAGTATCTGCTTCGTCAAATTCATCCGCCGTTATCACTCCGTCGACAGGCACGCGGTCGCCTGGCTTAAGCAGAATCCGGTCGGAATAGTGCAGCAGCTCCAGCGGCATGGCCTTGATTTTCCGCTTCAGAAGTGAGGGAGCAGACGTTGAGGACGAAGATGTTGCAGCTGTCGAGCTGCTGGTCCTCGCCATGATCGACCCCCCTGTCGTCCGCTGCTGCGAGACCAAAGTCACTACCCGTACCGTGTCTCGACCAGAGCCACCATCACTAGCATTCTTATCGCTCTTCTGCTGCAACAGCCGTTCCAGCACCGCAACGGTCCGCTGTTTCGTCCTCACTTCCAGGTACTTTCCGCCCAACAACACCGCAATCAGTGTCGTCGGTGCCTCGAAAAAGTGCGGTGGGGGTTGGCGGCAGTCCAGATTGAAAAAAGTGGCCGCGATGATCGCTATTAATAACACGAGAACGGAATACGCGTAACTGACGGTCGCGGCGACGGACACTAACACGTCCATGTTCGGCGTTTTGTTCTTCCAAGCTTTCCGCGCCCCGCGGTGAAACCGCGCTCCGAAGATGAACTGCACGGGCTATCCTGAGTAAAAACGTACCCACACCAGAGTCAGGATGGGGAATCTGCTAGACAAATCAGCCAGCTTTGGTTGTCTGGCATGACAAGTTTGTCCGCGTAGTGTAGTGCTGTTTGAGCTAGTTTAGCAGCATTACAGATCTAGCATCTCGTGCTGATTGGAGCATGACAAATTTCAAAACCGCATTAGAAAACGCTTCTCATGGGGCTCCGCATGAGAAACATTTTAAGCATGCAGAGTTGCATGACAACTATGGTGTGGGTACGTTTTTACTCAGGATACGGGCGTGGCGAGAAGCAAGAAAATCACGGTTTTCACGTGCTATGCATTGCAAACATGTCTGGGTCTGGAAGGTTGCAACTTGTCATGCTGGATTTGGATTCCACAATAAATCTGCATTGCATGAACAGCAAAAGGGGTCCAGTTTTTACCACGGCGAGAGGGCATTTCTCATGCAGTGTAGGCATCAGGAAGCCCTCGCAAGATCTGTGATGCTAGAGCATGCATCACAGACATCAGGAGTCATGCGAAATCTGCATGACAAACTCCTGCATTCTTCCAGACCCAGACATTTTTGCAATCCATACATGCAGTCCGGGCACGATTTGGGTCTCGTTCAAGTACTTGTAGAATTTCGTGTGGCCGTACTCATGCGGGAGGACAAACACCATCACCAGCATGGCCAAAGCGAAGGGCATGGACCGGAGACAATTCTTCCGCAGTTCGGTTGCTTCGATGTTCTCCGGCTTGTTGTGCCGTTGGAAGAGCTGAAACCTTTCGTAGTCGTGGTTGATCTCCCTGCTGAGATGCTGTCTCGCAAGCTGGAGAATTTGCCTTGCGGAAACCTTGTCCGGGTAGTAGCGGATGCAGACAAGGGTCGTGGTCGAAGCAGATGCGGAACTACGGTCATGATCTACTTGAACGGTTGCCAGTGTACTTCTAAAGGATCCTTGCGGGCCGGTAGATGAACTCGGAACCGCGGCGTTGGGGCTGAGTAATACTGGTTGGTGGAGTTGTGTACTAGTTTGTGCAGCATTTTTTGCACCAAAGCGGTGCTGATCACCAGCACTCGTCTCCGCCTTGCTTCCTCTAAAATCGTCCGTAGTCACAACAATGTCATCCGCCGAGGTCGTCCGCAGCCGTTGGTGGATCGGACCTTTTGAAGAGGATCCAAACGCCGGAACAATATTACCGACGTGCCTCCGGCCCGATCCGGGTGGCGGTATTGCACCGTGCAGATTCGCGGGAGAAGTCGCAGCGCCGTCTGTGGTTTCGCCCGCAGCAGGGTTCTTCATAGAAGTCGCCTCCTCGTCTGAGGACCGGGTCGAGAGACGCCGCGATGCTGCGGGGTTCTTTTGGAGACGAACTTCCCTCTTGGACGAGCCTGAGCCGCGCCGCTGTTCAACTTCTTCGTCCGAAGAGGTTGTCGCCTCGTCGTCCTCGTGCTCGTAGTGACGAGCATCTTGCTCCGAATCACTTCTTCTCCCTGCTACGACTACATCGCCATCATGATCTTCCCGTCTAGCACGACCGTGCTTCGGACTTTTGTCAGCACTACCACTGTCGTCCAGAAACGCCGCGTAAGTCCCTCCGGAGCTCGATTTCAGCCAGGAGGGGATCGAATTCGTGATGTATTTCCGCGACTTCTTCATCGACCGTTTTTTCCGGGGTCGCAGAGCGCGGACGGACAAAATGCTACCCGGCGGAAAGAAGTGCTCGATTTGGTCCAAATCGGCGCGCTCACTCGGCCACTCCCACAGGTGGAGCTCGCAGACCTCTTCGTCGGAAGTGTCTTGTTCTTGGAGGTCGTGCTGCTGGTGATTTTGTATATCATTTTCGACGTGTTCAACACCCGCGTGAAGGTTTTCGTCCAGCGCGCCGTCTGCTCTTGCTCCTGCGGTTTGCTGCTGCTTTTGCTTTCCATTTCCCTCCATCGATAATTGCACGCTGGCTGGGTCGGCTGTAGTAGTTCCTGGTGCAGCCGCTCCTGCAGCAGGACCGGTCGCGTTTGTTGCCACCGCGTGGTCTTTCACCACTTCTGCGTCGAATCCGATGTCGTCCACGTTCTCCGCCAAGTCCTTAGCGGTGACCTTCGCTCGGTTGTACGTGATCACTGCCTTGTTGAGCAACAGCAATACGTGCGCCTGCTCCACGCCGTCCGTCTTCCTCAGCATATTTTCAATCGTGCCGCTACACGCACTGCACGTCATGCCGCCAAGCCGAAGCTCGCACTTGTACGGCTGCAGCTCCTGCTGCTGCATAGAAGTGCTCATCTCCGTCCCTTGCAGAAGTTTCTTGGTCTTTCTTGTGGCGGCCGCTTTGGCAAATGTACTACTTTTTGGTGACGAACAACCAGGAGAAGCTGTGCTGGAGGAAGATTTTTTGAGCAACAACGGAACGTAAAGCTGGCCACGCTTGGAGTCGCGGCTACTGTTTAGCACATTACAAGAACCATGAGCTCGCGCTGGTCCTCCCGCATCTGTAGTTGCATGTAGGGTCGTATTCTTTTTCTCATGGAACAAAATGGAGGTTTTCTTTTTTGTTCCCTTTATGCGCTGGGGTGGTGAAGATGATGATTCATGTGCTGACAGGGAGGGACTCTGCCAAAATTTCATGAAGAGTGAGGACACCATGTTTGAATTTGAAAGCAAGTTTGTTGACGGATAAGCGAATTTGGACAGTGGAAGCACACATTTTCACACACATTTGTTCTCAACAGCACTCTATGCTTTGTTCTACACGGCACTCGCAAAAATCTTTGTTCTTTGTAGTGACGCTATTGCTGTGCTTTTTTCTTGTGTTCTTTCTCGGGAGGCTAAAACGTGCGTTGAAGGTAGTAGTACACACAAGCTCTGGAAGAAGTGGACTTATCCAGTTTTTCCTTGCAGCGGGCGTAAGAAATCCAAGGAAACATCAGAAATGACTGAAATACATGCTACTGGAAATAAGATGTTTCTTTCTCACTCGTCACGCTGCCCCACGAAGTCAAAGAAGAAAAGGAAAACACAATGACAATGTTGTAAAATGTGTTTATGTCTTAGTCTTACACCGATATGACATACACAAAAGCTAAACAAGAAACGACGAAAGGGAGAGAGAGGGAAAGGACAACACTTCTGCCCCTACCGTCCAAAGCATATCGCCCACGCTGCGTGGGAAGGCAGCCCTAGGTGGTGGATGTGCAATGGTGCTCGCTTAAAACTATGATCCCAGTGCACAAGGCGGGTAGGGGCGCCGGCTCCACCGTCCAAGTGCTCATAGTTTTAACGTGTTGTAGAGATAATGAGGTCGCGGAGGAAGCAAAACAACACCACACAGAACAAACCGGAGACGAAGATCGGCAGGATCGGATGGAAACCGAAGTTGACCGAAAAGCGAATAGGAAAATATATGTAGGGGAGAGGGATTACGATAGACGATGCAGTAGATTAATAAATACGATAATTCGATCGATACGAGCGACGATGACGAAAGACGAGGAGAATACGTATTGCATGATGAATCGAAAGTGTACGATATATAGCGCGAAAGCACGATGGATGTACGGAAAGATGCTACGAAGATACGACCCGAACTAAAAGATAAGAGCTGAGGAAATGACGAATAGCCTGTAGCGTCGATAATGAACGAGAGTATACAAAATCGACGATGTCACGAAGATCGAAATCTACCGAAAAGTACCGAAGTCTCTTATGATCTTAAAATTTCGATCTCTTGGACGAACAGACACTTAACAAGCAACATATAAAGACGCGAGTCGTCGGGAGCTGTTTGTTTTGTATTTTCATTTTGCATCAGAAGAAAAAAGAAAAACAGATGTATACCTTAGTGCCATGACAGCAGATCACCCATGATTTTGCATAGAAATTTGCATTCATCATCATTCATTAGCATATGATCTTTCATTTTATAGATGTATGCATGAAAAAAACAAAAATATGAAAATTTGAGTAGGCGTGGGCCTGTAGGCCTAAATTCCGGTCGGTTGGTCGGTCGGTTGGTTGGTTTTGGACAGACGACAATTGACCGAGTTTACGACTTATGGAAAAACGCATATCGGTTTCGGATTTAGAAGACAACCGCAACGGCAAGGAGGGCGAAGCACGATAGGGGGGTGGTCGGGGCGCGCGGCGCACCTGCCTCCCTACCGGGGCTGCAGCCCGCCCCTGCGAGGCTGGTAGCGCCGCATCCTATCGCCGCCCAGTAGGCACTTCCGCCAGGGCGGCAGAAAGGTCTCGGCAGAAGGAGAGTTCGATGTGTCCACGCAACACAGACGCAAATCTGTGTTGCGTGGACGCCAGTCTGTGTTGCGCGCGCCACAAACCTGTGCTGCGCGCAGCTCGCCGCAGACACAAATCTCCGCTGCGTGCGCGCAGCACAAATCGGCGCTGCGCGCAAATCTGTGCTGTGTGTTGCGCGCAAATCTGTGCGGCGCGCAGCTCGCCGGAGACACAAATCTGTGCTGCGTGGACGCAGTCGGAGCTCCGGGGGGCCTCGTGAGAGTTTGCGCCTGTGAGATAGAAAGAGGTCGGGGCTCCAATGCTGCACTTTTCTCCAGCCACGGCCTGCGTTTCCTCAACCCAAGCAAAACACACTTGGGAAATAGAGACAAACTCGCGCAAAATTTGGATCCGCCCCCGCTTGGTCATGCCGAGCGGGGGCTTTTTGCACAACCCCTTGGCTTCGCGAGTCCCTTGCTTGCAAACCCCCTGCTAATAGATTGAGCCATAGGCAAAGGCAACGCACGCTCGCCCCACCCCCTCCCCCCCCGCTTGGCAGGTGGGTTGGTAGGTCGGTAGGCGTGGCCAATAGCCAACACACGCTCCCTCGCCCCCCCCCGCTTGGCAGCTGGGTGGGTGGGTCGGTAGGCGTAGCCAATAGGCAACGCACGCTCGCCCCGCCCCCCCCCACCAGGCAGGTGGGTGGGTAGGTCGGACGGTAGGCGTGGCCAGTAGGCAGCGCACGCTCGCCCCACACCCCCACCGGCCTGGTGGGTGGGTAGGTCGCTCGGCAGCCCGGCCAATAGGCGGCGCGCGCTCGCCCCACCCACCCACCAGGCAGGTGGGTGGGTAGGTCGGTAGGCGTGGCCAAGAGGCAACACACGCTCACCCCACCCACCCACCTGCGAGGTGGGCGGGTAGGTCGGTAGGCGTGGTCAATAGGCAGCGCACGCTCGCCCCACCCGCCCACCAGGCCCGTGGGTGGGTAGGTCGGTAGGCGTGGCCAAGGGGCAGCGCACGCTCGCCCCACCCACCCACCAGCGAGGTGGGTGGGTAGGTCGGTGGGCGTGGCCAATAGACAGCGTTTGCTCGCCGCACCCATCCACCAGGCTGGTGGGTGGGTAGGTCGGTAGGCGTGGCCAATACGCAGCGCACGCTCCCTCGCCCCACCCACCCACCAGCGAGGTGGGTGGGTAGGTCGGTAGGTGTGGCCAATAGGCAGCGCACCCTGCCTCGCCCCACCCACCCACCAGGCTGGTGGGTCGGTAGGTCGGTAGGCGTGGCCAATAGGCAGCGCGCGCTCCCTCGCCCCACCTACCCACCATGTGGGTGGGTAGGTCGGTAGGCGTGACCAGTAGGCAGCTGTCTCTGGGTGGCAAGGGATAGGTAGGTAGGTGGATCGGTGCGATCACGGTACTACAATGAATCGAAAAGACGCCAGGTAGGTGGGTAGGTAGGCAGCTTCAACAGTAATAATAGATGAATCTCAGAAAAACACAAAACACAATGCAGCGGGTTCGGTCAATTGTCGTCTGTCCAAAACCAACCAACCGACCGACCAACCGACCGGAATTTAGGCCTACAGGCCCACGCCTATTGGAAAATTTGTATTTTATATACTGCCCCGGAGGTGGAGATGCTCATTTTGTTTGTTTTGTTTTGTTAATATTTTAAACTCACATGCAACGAAAGAACGACACAATCAACAAAAAGGAATCCGATTAGATGTGTCATTACAGACAATGTTGTAAAAATATAAAAAGTTAAAAATCGGCACAGAGACTGACGAGTACTACATTACCTACCAGGATCACCAGTAAAAATAATTGCTGCTCTCATCTCGTCGGTCCTCTTTCCCTTCTCAAAACAGGAAGTGTCGCCTTCTAATACAAATTTCCCCACCGTTTAAGATGCCTGCTCCTGCAACGAATGCAAAAAAGTGAAGGAGTACACGAACTCCCGCCTGCTGCTCAGAATTCTGACGATAGACACGGAACACAAGTTGTGACTCGTCATACTGTGTGCCATCACATTCAACTAGAATGACCAGCACGGATTTTTCCTCACGCCTCCACTGAGGAAAACGAAAATTCTTCGACTGACTCTGTACACAAGGAAGACAATTTCAAGATATCGAATGTGTAATACATCACGACCACATGTGTGTTTCTTTTTGGTATGTCATGTGTTGTGGCTCCTTTCGTAACAAAATTTAAAGTTTTTTAAGGAGGTGACGAATTGCTGCTGCGATGCCCGACATCGTTTCGTCTTAGATGGGGGCTAAAGCTAATCCAGCGACACACCCCTAAAGCTGGCAGCAATAACTCGACAACCTTTCGCTTTTCTCCATTATACGAAGTCGACACTTGAGCCGACACCGACAGTCCTTTTGGTTTTGCACTGCTCCTGCATGTACTTTTACATGTCGTTAAACACCCGTAGTGCCGTCCAGGCGCTGGAGCTGTTGTTGTTCAGAGCTACTTTTTCGATGCCGTTCTCGTTCTCCTCCAAGAGTTTGCTCGCCGTCGGTCGGTTATTTGGCTTGTACTCCAGACATTCGGCCACAGCAGCACGCAGGCCGTTGCTATACGTCCACCGGAGCCAGCTTCCCCTGTTGGTTTTCATGAAATGGGATGAATTTTTTCTGTGTACTAAGTAAGAAACGAGCCTGACACGACAAGTTGATCATGTATGTACTTATATGCGGCTCCTGGGTCTACTTACATTTGAGGAACGGAAGCAAAAATTAAATGAAAATGCAATTTATCGATAGATACTTTGGTTTCAGGTCATTCCGGTGGATTCGCTCGCCCTTGCTCGGTATTGGCACACTTGGTCTGGGATTTTTCCCGCGGTTCCGCTGGTGTAGCTTTTCGATCTGTGGATATTTGCTGTTGTTTGACGCAGACCTGTCTCGGGCACCCGCACTATCCGTCGCGCTTATTGTCACCTTCAGGAGGCTGTTTTCTCCTGATTTACCCAGCTGCTCTTTTGCGTTTTTCAAACAGGCGGGTAGTTGCAACAGCCCCCCATTCGCGAACCCACTGCACCCCTCCATCGCCATCTGATATGCTGAGAGCTCCCACGGCATGAAACACTTCTCGAGCTGCGCCAGTTCATACAACACGCACCCCAGCGACCAAATGTCACAGCTGTTGTCGTGTGCCTGGCCCCGCATGACCTCCGGCGCCATGGTGGACAACGTGCCTACCGCTTGCCGAGATTCGTTGTAGATGTGGATTCTCCCGATGCCGTTCGACTGCGCGCCGTCAAGAATCTTCTTCTGCACGTGCTCTGGCTGTTTGTTCAGAATGGTTTGCCTTTGGTTCACCAAACTGGTCGCGTTTGGCAAAATGAAAGCGGACCCAAAGTCGGAGAGTTTGTAGACGCCCTGCTGCGGCAAGGGAGTGTTCTCGGTCAGAAACGTGCTGCGCTGCGTTCTGGTGCGATAGTTTGAAGAAGAAGAAGAAGTGTTGTTCCCATAAGAACTGCTCGACGAATAATTACTGTTTGATGGAAAGCTCATGAACCCTGCTGCGCTGTTCCCGCTGAGCAAGTTCTGTTCGTCCAGTTTCTCTTGCTCTTTCTGGTTTTATCCTGTGTAAAAACGTCCCCATAGTACCAGAGTCAAAATGGGGAAGCTGCTAGACAAATCAGCCAACTTTGGTTGTGTCGCATGACAAGTTTGTCCTCGTAGTGTAATCCTGTTTAGCTAGTTCAGCAGACTCACAGGTCTAGCATATCATGCTTTTTCTAGCAGCACAAATCCCAAAACACGACTAGAAAAAGCTTCTCATGGGGCTTCGCATGAGAAACTTTTTTGGCATGCAGATTTGCATGACAACTCTGGGGTAGGGATGTTCTTACTCAGAATAGGTTTTCCTGTTCCTTCATGTACTCTCTGTACTCTTTCAGGCTGTTGAAGTGATGCGGCAGGTTTTTCGTCTCTACAGCACTTTCCTCTAAATTCCGCTGCGGGCCGGGGCCGCCTCCAAACGGGTTGAAAGCGCTCGCCGGGTGCATCATGGGGAAGGTCTGCGCCTTGTCGTGCTCGCACCACAGAATGTTTTCCGGCTTCACGTCCCGGTGGACGATTCCCAGAGAGTTCAGGTAGTCCAAAGCGGACAGAATGTGCCAGTAAACCTTCCGGATTTCCCCCTCCGCAAACCGCTGCGCACCCGCCGACATCTGGTCGCGGATGTCCACGTTGTTGGCCCCACCGTAGTGGTTGTTGGACCTCCGGGTGGCGCGCTCCTGTTCGTACAGAGTCCGCCAGTTGGTCGCGGCGGGTTGCGTTGACTTGTTGTCCCTTGTGGAAGTTTCGACAACATCTTCCCTGGTCGTGGTTGCGGTCGGATGTGGACGACTTGATGTGCGGCGCTTGTTTTCTGCTTTGCTCCGGCCCCGACTGCGGTTCTGTTCGTTGATAGTGTAGTTCTCGTCTCTGTCTGCTGTGGCTGAAGAGGAAGAAAAACCCTCGTCGTCTTCACCTCCAGAAAGCGGTTCAACCGCATCAAATAGATCGTCTTCATCCAGACGAGGAGATGTTAAACCTCTATAGGTTGGCGAACTCTGCCTGTGGCTGCCCTCCATCTGCTTTGGGGGCACGTAGGTGCTCATGCTATTCCCATTCAGCTTGTTTCTCTCCAGAAAACCCTTAAAGTACCCCGGCACCCGCAGGCTCTTCGGCAGTCTCTTGCCGTCGAAATCCAGCGGCTCGCCGGACGAGAGCGAAACCGACATCGTGCTGTTCATAATAATATGCATCGCAAAAGTTTCGTACTAGTACAATTCGCATGACAAATTTTTCCTAGAAGAAAAATGAAATTTGTCATGCAGATTCAGGTAAGAAAGCAGATCTGTGATGCTAGATTCGCATTTATACGAGTACGATACTTTTGCAGTGGATAAATAGCCGCTTTTTTCGCAGCGGCCGCGGCGCTGGTTCTTGCACCGGATGAAGTGTTACTGACTGTACGGCTGATGGGTGGGAGCTTGATCGTTTGATTCAATTTGTTTTCCTTCTTGTTGTAGACGTTGAACGAACTGTCGTTGTTACCACTGTTATTTCTGTTGCCGTGATGATCCCACGAATTCGCGGCGAAGTTTGAGCGGAACTCCCGCGCGTCTTGCCCCGCCAGCTGCTTGTTCAGCATGCTGGCGGTAATTTCTCCGTGGCGGTCGACCGACTCGAGCACCCCCCGATTCGCGTGCATCAGATCCGCGTCCGCTTGGGTTAGAATGTGCTGATTCAGATTGTAAAAATGGTTCTTCTCCCGTAAAATCGACACTTTCGCCGTGGCAAAGCTGGACTCGTAGTCCGTGCGCTTTTTCGTGACAAAGTTGATCATTTTTTCCAAGCCCAAGTCGCCCCGCTGCATGACCAAAAAGATCTCGCGGTCAATGCCGTCTTTCCCCGGAAACCAGTCCAAAAGCTGGATCAGGTTTTTGCAGCGCGGTCGCGCCGCCTCCCACAAACCTTTGGAAACGGTCAGAATCTTCTGATAGGGCGGGAGGTTTTGATGCTGGCCTGTAGTTTTTTGGTTGAAGCTGCTGTTGTGGCTGTCGAGATCAGCGCGCCGGATCCCCGTCGTGTTTTCGTAAGTGGAGAAAGGAGCGCCAGAGAAAGAAATCGACGTCGAATGAGCCGCTGCACCAAACCCAGGCTCATGATCACCAGTCAAGGCCAGGTTCTTGGCCAACCTGGTGTGATGACTCTGACTTCCATTCCCATTCGGAGAAGATAATCCATCTCCAGCGGCTTCGTTCCCGGACCCGCTGGCGCTACTGTTGGGTGAGCTCGACCCGCCCAACCGCGTGGAGGAGGACATGGGGCTGAGATTTATTCGCTTGTTCTCTTGCGCAAGATTTTGAGAATCTTTCTTCTCCTGGATCTCCTTTTCGTTGACGCTGTTCACCAGCTCCGCCACTCTTAATTCCACGTACATCGTCGCCCGGGCCGTGTTGAACGACATCGAAGACAGCTTGATCCTTTTCAACGCCACGTACCGAAAGCAGCCCCCCTCCACTATCCTGAGTAAAAACGTCCCCACACCAGAGTCAAGATGGGAAATCTGCTAGACAAATCGGCAAGCTTTGGGAGTTGTACATGACAAGTTTTCGTCTGTAGTATAGTGGTGCATAGTAAGGCAAGCCGCATGAGAAAGCCAATTTCTAATCCTGTTTACAGCATTACAAATGCCAAATCACGATTGGAAATACCTCTCATGGGGATGCGCATTACAAATGTTCCTGTCATTGCGCATTTGCATTACAACTCTGGGGTGGGGACGTTTTTACAAAGGATATCCACGCGGATCGCCTCGTGCACGTCGCCCTTGGCCCCGTGCCCGAGGACTTTGTCGGACTTGTGGTAGCCGTCCTTGCGGTCGTTCAATTGCGACCCGGATCGGTACTTTTCGAAGCGGTCGGAGGTGTCGCGCAAGCTCCGCGTGGGATCGTGCCGCTGCCGGTTCTGCGCAATAGACAGCGCGCCCTTCGTGAGCCGGTTTTTGCCGCTCGTCGTCCCGGCTCCTCCTGCGCCGGGGAGCTTGGAGGTACTGTTCAGGTTGATGATGGTATGCATGGCTGCTTAATACTAAAATGAAGATGCGGTAGTTTAATGCTTCAGGAGAAGCTTTTCGTTTAATGCTTCAGGAGAAGCTTTTTATTTTCGGGGAAAATTATAGAAACTTCAATTACGTTTGAGAAATGATCGTTGAAGATATGTTGGGGGAATGTAGAAATACTTCTTGTTGTCGTGAAATTACCCGCAGTAAGAGAGAAATTCTATTTGTAATCGAAAATTTTACAGCTAGTAGAGGAATGGAAACGGAAACGTGTCTTCTATTTTTTCAGGAGGTCCTGCTCGCCAGCAAAGTATAGATGTACAAGACGAGCTTGGTACCATCCTAGGTATTTGTCTTTTAGTGTACACAAAGAGGGTTGTAATAGTATAGAATACCGTTTTGGGGGGATGATCGTTGATATAATGATTTCTTCGAGATTCTACGGGGGAAATAAAGTTTCTTTGTTTTAGTGGGGGTCCAGAATGGTGGCCTTGATGTGAAAAAGTTTCGGTCGTAGGAAAATTGAAATGACAAATCAACATGCAGACACCAAGAAACTACTTACGACCGTTGGAGTTGACGAAGAGAAACGAAGTGAAGAGATCGAGGTTTATCTCGCTGTAATGTCATCTATGGAAGACCGATGCTCTAGTAGCTGAACTATCTGTTCCAACGAGCAGAAGGACGTCCAAAAACCGACTTCGTGTTTTGGCTTCCAGCAATTCTGCTCTACCACCGATTGAGGCGACCGCGCTTTTGTGCCTGCTACTGCACAGATAGAATAGTGATGACGTGCTATCAAACTACACAAACACCGAATCATTTCTGTAGCTATCTCGCACCGATAGATTTATTTCCTGAAGCTCCTTCGAGTAGTACTCCCTTATACAAACTACTTGTGAGTGTGAACGAAGCAAGCTACTGCGGTGTGCAGGTGAAATCATAGTGTTAGACCGACTTGTTCTCTTTCTGCCCTTGCGGGTCAAATAAGTGTCTTCGAATCCACTACGCGCGGCCACCTGCTACAGGACATCAAGTGATGCAGAAATCGAACTGCAAGTGGTTACAGCAGTAGCGGCAATCAGCTACTTATTCAGCACACGTCGTTCTTAGTCTGAAAGAAGCATGGTCGTCTCAAATACGTGCGTAAGCGTAAGTACTCAGAAAGTTGAAAAATAAAGCAATGCTGCGGAAAGAAGCGGAATGACAAATAGCTCACTCGACGCGCAAGCGCGGATCGTTCCAGTAGGGCAACACCATCGGCAAGTTTTCGGCCACCGCTCTGCCATGCCCGAAATGCCGGGTGACTGGGTCGGGCAAAACTCCGAAGCCGAATTCTTGACTGACAATTTTTTCCACTTCTTCGAAAATCATCTGCTCTCCCTGCCAGCCAAAATGCAAGCCGTCCAGCTGCAGGATCGCCGCGCGCTCCGCCCAAAACAGCTCGTAGGTGTCGATGCAGGCAAGCTTTTTGATGTTTCCATGTCTTGATGTAGAACTTGTGCCATTTTTCGGCTCTTCCGCTGATATTTCTGCTTTCAACTTCTCGACCAGTCGAAGAACCTCGTCCCGGTACTGGACCGTTACTTCGTTCACGCGGTCGATGGAGCAGCTGTCCTCCGACTCAACAGCATCCTCCTGCTCACATTGGGCAGCGTTGTCGCCAGGAGTTGCGGGGGTTGGAGGAGCTCCAGCTGGATCAGTACTATCCCCCGCTGCAGGACGACCTCCAGCAGCTGCAGCGCCACTGTTCATCGTGAAACGGATCCGTTGCTGCTCGGCGATGCACGGCGGAGTGAGGATGATTAAATTATCGACGTACTCGTCGAGAAGCAATTTTGCGATGAATTCCAAATTTTCCGCGAATTCCCCAAGCGGGACGTGCTGCGTCCCTGCCTCGGGCAGGCAGGCGTCGTTTGCACCGAGCCATAGCGTGGCGAACAACGGTTTAGCATCTTCATGTTGATCGGCAGCAGGACGAGGTGGATCTTCATGCTCTGTGTTCTTCTGCTCTTTATCGTTTCCAAATCTACTTCTTGGTCGTCCCAAGTCCTTCTCTAGCATATCTTCGATGAACCGCCTGACCCATCTGGCGTTATACCCCGACAAACCCCGGTTCACAACATCTGCCCTCCGCAAGAAATATCTTTGCAGCTTCGTCACCCAGCCCTCGTTGTTGTGGCTCCCGCCCTGCGTCAGCGAGTCGCCCAGGCAGTAAACCTTCGGCGTGCCGGAATAACGTGGGGCTTCTGCAGCAGGGGGTTGAGCTCCACCTCCGACTGCGCCGGACGAGGTGGAGGACGAGGAGGGCGCGGGTTTACAGTGTTCACTTTGTAGTTTCGACATATTTTTGCTATAGTCTTTCTTGGACTTTGTGCGACAAAAACAAAAAGTGTCTTCGGTATCGTAAACTCGCAAAGCTGGTGAAGGTTTTTTTAAAGCTCCGCTGATAGATGTACACTACCTAACTACTTGATACTGAAGAAATGACAATCAGATCATACTCATGCCCTTGCGCCCTTTTTGTTGTTCTGACTCTGAGAGCGTTGTGGTATGTAAAAGAGTCAAGTTCCACGTACAGAATTTCCGAACGAGGAACCCTCCAGAGCGACTGTCTCGGGCTACCAGCTACAAAGCCAACATCTTCTTCATGCATGCATGGATTGCATGATCTGCAATCATGCTACTCTTCAATACTGCTTTGTAATGCAGCACACCTCCTGGATCTTCATCTTCATCAGCACGAGTAGATCGAGACATTGATCCTTTAAAACCGCCTTGGATTAGGGGGCAGGTGTTATCTTAAACACCAAGAAATGGATCCTTCCACCAAGAATACTTTCCGAGGAGACTCATCGCCATCTTGTCCTGTGGGACCTGTACGAACAAGAGCACGACTAAACCACTCACAAGTCTTGCCGGCAAAGTTGTTTTCCTTCCTTGACCTTTGTCGAACTACAAAACTGAATTGAGCACGTTGAGAATTGGGGTTTTGTCGTTTGTTTTGAATATCGAACTATATCTGTTTTCATACATAATTACCTTTACCTTTACCATCAAATTGAAATACGAAAATTGACCAACGTTCTATCACTCATGCTCAAAAAAGAAGGGGAAGGAGATCGTGCCATTCTGTAATTAAATACGAAAGATGTACGAAGTGTAAAAATCAATCGGGTGCTCGCTTCTACTTTGGGCCGCGAGCGAGTAACTGTTTCAGGTACCAACTACGTCAAGTGCGAGGACAACTCGGAACATCATTTCTTGACAGCGAAGAACTCGTCATCTAGGATTGGTAGATTCGCCCAAAAATCATCTACGCTGGTTCTCTGGCGCTTCTTGTCCGGGGTTCCTGTAGCTTTTTTCTGCAGCTCTTGTTCCAACCGGACCTTACTCCGCTTGAGCGTGCTGTTCTCCTGCGCGAGCCGGTTGTTTTCCTGCATCAGGTGGGCGTTTTTCCGCGCGAACTCTTCCTCTTTCTCTTCGTGCTTGATCTCCAGCAGGACCTGCGTGGAAGTCTTGTTTCCGTGCAATGGGGTTCTCAAGCATTACAGTCTCAACTGTTGCGTGATTTGTCATGCAGAATTGCCATCAACTACAACAACAGCTACGCGATCAAGCTGCTGCGCATGACAAGTCCGCGAAGGGCCAAACAACATAGATGAAATCTGGGCCAGATTTGTAAAAGAGAAGGCAAGGGGGCAGGGCAAGGCAAGGCAAGGCAAGGCAAGGCAAGGCAAGGCAAGGCAAGGCAAGGCAAGGCAAGGCAAGGCAAGGCAAGGCAAGGCAAGGCAAGG